TGCTTTAAGATCCCTACCAAAAACTCAACATTTAAGTAAATTTTATGCTGCCTTAATTTTAGTTTTTAAACATCATACTTTTTAGCATTAGGCCTACAATAAATAATACTATTTTACTCTGTTGTTTACTTTTTAAAGAAAACCCGTTAGGACCTAAGACATATAGGCCTAATGTGAAAAAAAAAAACATTTTTGTGAAGGAGAAAACCAATGACCTCAGCATAGCCTTGTTCAATGAGTCAGAAAAGAATAATGAATCACACAAATAGGGCACAGTAATGTGTTACCACTACCAGTACTAGTACTGTAACAAGCAGATAAACTACTTAGTTTGATACACCAGTATTTAATTGATTCTACGTACAGTATTTTAATATTTTCAACCATGTCCCTTCGCCTTCATAATTTGTAATGAATCAATGGTAAAAGAAAATATTTTTCCTACAGTCATTCGACAAAGTGGGCTTCCTTGCACAGATTATAACTAGAAACATTAAGGTGGCACACAAATAATGAATATAATAAAAATGATTCAATTTGTTCTCATCATTTGTGTTACTTTTTGAAATGTAAAAAACATCATGCTGTGACCCATTTAAAAAAAACATGTGGTATCCTTGACAAAGATTTAAGAGTAATTTCTTTAGAGAAGGTAAAAGAAGTTAAAGAACTTAAAGACATAACTTTAGTGCCAGGAAAGCTTTTGTGCAGCAATTGTAGAAAGTTATTGAATGTTGTAAACACTGGTTCAAAAAATGAACAAAATTCTGCATTTCATGATAGTGACGAAGATATTGACAAAGAGTTTACAAAAAAATTAATACAAATTTACTTCAAAACTAGGATGTATTTGGTTTTGTTTTACGTTTCAATCAAGTTGTTTTCTTTTGACTTTGAGGAACATCTATACTTATTTAATACGCAAGCAGGATTTTTGTGACAATTACTCCTCTGAAACTACTGAACCGATTGACACGTTTTTGGTGTCATTGAAAAGAGCGCAACGTGAAGTTGTGCAGGAAACTTTCTTTTTAGATAAATAATTAGAGAGTGAGGCCCTGGGGCCCTTTAAAGTTTCATATTTCTCCATAAGATTAACATGGGAAACAAACATTGTTTTGAAACTCCAGCTGTTGTCAGAAATTAAATATTAATTGGTCTCCATGGAAGCATGAGAAAATTCACAATATTTACATTTGCTTTGACATTTAAAAGTAAACAACCAGAACTGTCAAATGCCTATTTCGCAATTTCAGACAGCTGATCCAAAAAAATAAAACAATTTGTGGTAGGTTTATTTAATCTTAAACTTGAGGATAGATTATTTATTATGAATCTATTTCCATTATTATGAAACCGATTTTTCCCGTTGCGAAGCCAAAATTAAAAGTGAGAAGAAGAACATGTTAATTGTAAACAGTAATGTGTAAATAATTATCTATGTTGTATTAAAATGTGTATAGTTTTGGATGATGGTTTGTGTTTAATGATATAAGCTATTAATTAATGAATTTTTATTTTAAGAATTTGGCATAAGAGTATGCCTATGATAAATAACACAATTTTAGAGCTCTGCCAGGTTTTGCCTAACTCTGTTCTGTAGAGTTTAAAGTAGCCTCCACCTTATTGTCTACAAATTGGCTAAATAACTTAGGTACGGTACATTATAAAAGCTGGCAGCTTTTTTATGTTGACTTAAATTGTAAGCTTACCTGTTCCCGTCCATGAGCAGTTTGATAGTTAAAAAATAACCCTTTAAACTGGAATAGGACTGGTATGTAAATTGTGAGTATTTCCATCAGTTAATAATCTTTTAGTCGACTCTTTTAAAATCATCGGAAATTATGGCTGTTATTATTAGTTTTTAAACAAGTCATTTGTTTAAAAATAACTCCTGTACTTCTTTGCAATTGCTCGATTTCGAGCAACATGTACACTAGTAAAATATTAATACTCCAAACGCCACTCTTATTTTTATAACATTTGAAAGATAATTTTAAACACAAACACACCAATACACACAGACACTGGTCACATTCACTGGTATAAACATCTGGTTAAAAACATTGATTGTGTTTTTAAATATGTCATAAAATTTTATTTTTTTTTTAACGCATAATTTAATATTGAAGTTTGATCTATAAAAATTAATAATACATTTTTTTAATTTGTTATTGAGAGTGGTAAACTTATAAATTTTGCATTAAATGTAATTGTAATTTCTTGTAAAGCTATAATAAGCCTTTATTTAGGTAAAAGTAATGTAGGATATAGGACGATTTAGTTAGGGCTTTTTATAAGTAGGCTAAAAATTTAATTCATACAAAAATAACAACTTAAGGACCCAATATTTTGTTTCACATTTTTAGATTTCTAGTCATTTGTACAAACATATTGATGAACCTTTTGTATTATTTAAGTTGATCATACATAGGCTATTCGGCATCAAATGAAATTTTTAGCTTAATCCAATTTAATTTTTGACTTTCACGTGTGATAACAATGTTAATACTCAAAACCCCACTCATGTTATTATACCATTTGAAAGATAATTTTATCCTCTTTCCAGTGATATATAGTTTTATAGGTTTATCTGGAGAGAGATTTTTGTTATCAAACCTTTTGTAACTGAATGTTCCGATTTCGGAAAAATCGAATTATTTGTAGGCCTATTTAGGAATTTTTTTGGGGTGATAATAGGTAAAAGTTATCATTTTAATTGTATTAGGTACCCTATCTATGATTCTGCATTAAATTTTGGATATGAGTCAAATTTGAGGCCTCTAGCTTAATAATTGTCCATTCTACATAGAAAGACGAGAATACATGCACGCTCCCTTAGCGTCAAATTGGACCTCGGAAACTAAATTCGCTCAAAACTTCAAATAGTCATATTTCTGAAACCGTTTGACATAGCCTAATGAACTGAAATTTTAGATTTTATCCTATCTAAATGTCTAAATTATGTGTACAAATTTTCATGAAAATCTGTGACTTAGTGGGTGACAACTCCTGGATGACTTGACATGGAATGGCCCCTGGTCCAGCGTTTCCCATTTCGTTCAATGTATGGATTTAACCTAACCTAATACCGTGTTGTGCATTGTTTGAAAGACTAGCCTAATTATTTATATGATTTATAGTAACTGTAGGGAAACTATAAGTAATGTGTAACCCGAGTGCCTTTGCTGCACTTGAGAAACATCCCCCACTCGTCTACGGCTCGTGCATTTCTTTCGTTTGCAGCAAATAAAGTGCCACTTCGCCCACTAGTTACACAAAAACTATTGAAGTGACTAGGCATAAATAGATCAATTATATCCAACCTTGTTTATTATAATGTTGTAGGCCTATATTTTTACGGCGATATCTTGAGAAATATTCATCAGCAGTGAAAAATAATGGTAGGCTATAACTTATTTGGATTCAGAAGGTAAAAAACTATAAGTACGGTAACTTAAGAAATCAAAATTAAAAATTCGTTTTGAGGCACCTATACAAAATAAATAAACAGCTTACAACTTATTCAACTTGTAATAAGTTGAAAGTTGTAATAAGTTAATAAGCTGTGTCTGCAACTAACTCCTGATGACGACTAAAACAAGTGATAGCTTCTCTGCACCTGCGTATTTAATCATAAGTCTACTTGTTGAGTGCATTGTAGTTGGGCATCCAGCAATGTCCACGTCAATAGCGCTCCAGTAGACATGTTTTAAGCCGCGTTCACACCGGAGTTTGAAACACGAGTTGCTAACAGAAATTGCAAACATCTCTAAAAACACACATTTTTAGACGAAACATTTCGCTGTTGGAAACAGTTTTTCAGTGTTTGCAACAGAAATGTTTGTCTCCACTTTAAGTCGGTATTTAAAGATCAAAGGGAGTTGCAAACTCTTTGATTGCAACACTAGTTTCGGTCACTATGAGCCGTTAAAACACGAAACAGAAACATTTCTCCGCCATCCTCTACACTACCACCTCCACTCTCACTCACGCCACCCTGTTTCTCGACTCGGACTGACTCCCTCACTGTTATTAACCCTGCCTGGAGTGTACTGCTAACTCATGTTTGTTGTGACTTATCTCTGTTGTGGTATCGTGCGTGTTGTAAGTGATGGTAAATCTACTGAGTGAGATGGAGTGGGGAGATGACAATAGGCCTATTATTAAGTTAATTAGCTTGTACAGAGAACAGGAAGTGCTTTGGAATCAAACTAACATCCTCGACACTTGACATCCTCGGAAGGACTGATCTGAGGATCCAGAACGAGGCAAGTTATAATCAAGATCAAAATTAAATATTTCAAACATTTTCATGAAACATGGAAACAAAACCATGAAATAAAAATTGCAAACTTTAATTTGAAACTGCTGTTTGCAACTTTTTGTTTGAAACTCCGGTGTAAACGTGGCTTTAGGTTCCTGCTCCTGCTCCACAGTGCTGGCTTTAACTTAAAGTTAGGTTACAAAAGCTTGCTTTGCTTGTGTGAAAGGCTGCAATTTCGCAATTGTCCCTCAGAACAACCAAATGAATAGGCCTATATTTAAATAAGTTATCAGTTAGGCTAGATTATTCAAATCATCTTCAAGGATTTTCTATGTGACAGAATACTTAGGCTACCTACACTGAATGCAAGTGTCAAAACGAGTAACTTGCTGTCAAATTGTAAAAAAGTGTCCAATAAAAAAATCCATTTCGATCTGACTAGTCGATGCAACTCATCCTTCATAGTCTTCTAGACTAGCCTAACGTAAGAGATAGGTAAGTAGACTAAACCTTACCATAGCCCTAAGTTATTTTCCAGTGAATAGACTTCTGGTTGCCTTGGCTGGTTTAACAAAGGTCTTAGGTATGACTTAACTTTTCATTTTTTGGCCTAGTAGACCTAAAACTAAAGAAAAGTGTTTTTATTAGGCTACAAAGGTGGCAGACTAATGAATCTCTTCAAGTGCTCATCAAAATTCATTAATCTGTTTACTAAATAAATGACATTACTTACATAAACAAGGCTTGTTCCACGAACGAGAAGAAGTTTCCATTAACTGATCAGAGTGTTTTGGTTGTATAAATTATAAAGTCATCACAAAAAAGAACTGCTTTTCAAGTTAACTTTAATAAGCTAATTTCCGCTTTCTACAGCTCCACCTTGCACCTCAATATGGCAGCCATTCCACTAGCACTTGAGTAAGAATTTTGTCAGTGGGTGGTATTTTAACGGGGGAGTTGTCTAATATTATACCACCCCATGCAAAGATTCAAAATAAAATATCTGACTAATAATAACACATTAAATCCCTTCATAGGATGTTTTAATTGTGCGAGAAAATTAACAAAGTTACATGAAAATGTAAAATGACACTTTGAGTTTGATGGATGGTTCAATGGGATGGGAATGGATAAATGGATGATATGAATGGCTGGCAAACTGCCAAAACAGGATTTCCCACAACACAACTAGTATACACAAATATACCTACTTTTGCAAATATTTCTGTAATATAACTGGTAATACATACTTTAAAATAAAAACAATGCCTATAAATTATTAAATATATTTTGCAATGGTATATGGTTTGAATCAATAATTTTCCGCTTTGCATAAAAAGTGTAATATAAAACATTAAAATAATAAAAATCCCTATTAGTTCAATAACATTTTTCTGTCCTTAACGATGGTATTTCAGAGGATACGAAATAGAGAGTATTATCATAGATGATCATAAATAAAACATAAACTATGTTTATCTATGGTACTATTGAAACGGTTTTTGGGAAAAGGAAAATCCATGTTTTGAGTATTTGCCGGGAATCGAACCCATCCCTCCCGCACTGAAATCCGACACATGTTAACCAGTGGTTTAACCTAAAGGGAGTTTTATCTATGGTTTAACATAATGTTTAATCCTCTTGAGTCCGATACGCTAACCCAGTTAACATTTTTATGTTTTTTTCAAGTAGCCTATAATAATGTCGTTTAGACTTTTCAATAAAACTAGTAGCTGTGGTGCTGTATCACGGCCGCTTTTAACTCCAGACCGCGGCTTTCGAACTGGCAACGTCGCAAGTGGTGTTGTAACAGCTGTTTTTGTTTGGAAGCAGGTAATGGTATTTGTGTATTTACGAAAGATTGGTTACTGGACTATGACAATATTGACTCCGCTTAAAGATGTACAGATATAGATTTTAATTCATGTTGTTTCGGTTTTCAATTCTGTATGTTTCATTTTCAATCTAATATATAAAATTCTCGTGTCACAGTGTTTGTCTGCAAACTCCTCCGGAACGACTTCACCGATCGTTATGAAATTTGGTGTGTAAATTCTGTAGGTATGCGAATCGGACGTAAACTATTTCCCGTTTCGAAATTCTTAAAAGGGCTCCGCCCCAGTGGCTCTGGAGTTTCCCATGTTAACCTTATTAGAAATGGAATTAATGAACCTTAACAGCTGTTTCAATTAAACAAGTTGGTTCTGTTCTATGATGTTCAATAGCATTAAAGTTACAAGGATTACCAACAGGGTGCAGCACTATTATTTCTTTTACATTTATGACAACAGCTAATTTCCAACCAAAAGGTGAGTGAGCGTAGCGAACGAACTTCAACCTGGAGGCGAGTGAGCGTAGCGAACGAGCTAACCTGAAGGCAAGTGAGCGCAGCGAACGAGCTCCAACCTAAAGGTGAGTGAGCGTAGCGAACGAGCTCCAACCCAAAGGTGAGTGAGCGTAGCGAACGAACCTTAACCAGGACGTGATTGAGCGATGCGAACGAGATCATCTTGAAAATTAAACGTAACGGTACTTTCTTTCCATCGGTCTGTCTTAGGGGAAACCTATAACTTAGGCGATACGAAGTTCGCCGGGTCAGCTAGTATCTTAATAAATTTATGTTCATACATTTAAATTTAAATCAATAAAGTGTGAATTAATGAGCTGATGTCAGCTGTATTGACACGTCTAGGATATAATATATTGCAACGGTTTCTTGTGTTGTAACTGTGCACATATTATGCGTGTCTGTTTTACTAAAACTATTTTTGCAAACACAAGGCAGCTTAAAATATACATTGCTTGTACAGTTCAAATATTAGCCTCCATAAATAATGGTTTACTGTGTGTACTAAAATCAACATTGTACATGATTTTTAATGCTCGTTTTTGCAATAACAAACTTTTTTTATAAAATTATATATATATATATGTGTGTGTGTGAATTTGAACGGTTGGTGTTTTGGCCTCTTGCTCTTGGGAGGGACCTCAAAACGAAAAAAGGAAATCGGTCCCGGGTCCGGTACCATGAGTACTACGGTAATAGCTTATTTTCCCTATACAGTATGGGAAATTCGCCAAAACACCATTGCCTATAATCAATGCTGGCATTAGATTTAGTTATTACTGTAAAACTATAATCGATGACATTCTTCGAGGGTGTTGGACGCCTGGAAGGAGCGACCGAGCTAAGGAGATGACCTTTTTGTTTATGTGTGTGTGTGACTTAGTGACGTGAAGCTGGCCAGCTGGCCCGCCCATTCCAGCACACTTTTTTTAAATGTACACAAAAAAGTGTGCTAAAAGTGTGCTCTTTATAACGGCTATTAAAAAAAGTGTGCTCTTCTAATATTTATTTATGATACTGTATAATCAATTGGCTTATAGATCTGTAGCTGGAATGGCCTACCATTCGCTTTTTCATTCCCACATAAAATATGGTATCACCGCCTGGGGATCAGCAAGCACTAGTAACATTGAAAAGATCTTAACCATACAAAAGAGTACAATCCGGGCAATCTTGAGACTTCACTACCTTGAACACTGCAAACCCCTCTTCATCAAACTCAAAATCCTAACAATAACCTCCCAGTATATATTTGACACAATACTCCTAGCCAAAAAATCATCCCTCACCCCAAGATTAGACATACACACCTACAACACCCGAAACAAACACTAAATCAAAATCAAATCAAAATCATCTTTATTCATTTTTATATACAATATGTATACATAAATGGCGTCAATATAAAACTATTACTAAACTTAAAGACTAACATAGTGTTGCTTAGTTTTTGTATGGAATTCATTAAAACTATAAAATGCACCTTCAATTAGAAAAGATTTTAAAACATTTTTAAAATTGCCAGAGGTTATTTTATTTTTAATTGAAATTGGTAGGCTGTTAAAAAAGATACTCCCATTATAGCTTGGCTTCTTTTTAAAAAAATCTTTGTTATGTTTTGTAATTTGAAAATCATGTCTTTGTCTAGTATTATATTCATGTTTTTCAAGATTTTTTGATAATGTGCCAATTATGTTCTTTATATAGAGAATAGTGTTAAAAATATAAAGGCTGTAAACTGTCATTATCCCTAATTCTGAAAAATAAGTTTTACAAGGAGTGTCATATTTTAGTTTTAACATAGTTCTTAATGCTTTTTCTTGCCAACATAAGATTCTATTCATGTTAAAATTTGAAGTAGCTCCATAGACTTCAATGCCATACGTTATGTGTGAATGAATTACTGAATAATAAACCGATTTTAATTGTTTTCAAATCACAGAAATTTGACAGTCTCTTTATAGCAAAGATACCAGAACTAATTTTAGAGCAGACTTTATTAACGTGACCTGTCCAATTAAGAGTACAGTCCAACGCTAAACCTAAAAAATTAGTATTTTCACAAAGGTTGAAAGGTGGCGCTGTTGAAGTAATAGATTTTGACTTCCTGCAAGAAAATTTAATAATTTTTGTTTTATTTTTATTAATTAATAAATTTAAGCTATTTAGTTGGTCATTAATTATATTGATTGCAGTGCCAATTTCAGAAAAAACTTTATTAATATTTCTGTCAGAGATTGTTAAATTAATATCATCGGCAAAAATACTGAATTTGTTATTAGCTGTAAGTGTATGTAGACAGTTTGGCAACTTTCCCAAATAGCAAAGAAACAAAAATGGTCCAAGGACAGAACCTTGTGGTACAGAATAATTAATAGATCTGGTTTTTGAATTGATTTTAAAAGCTTTATTATTTTCAATGTGTGATATTTCTACATATTGTTGGCGATCTGTTAAATAAGATTCCAACAAAGCTAATTCTTTGCCAGATATACCAAAGAAAGTTAATTTTTTAAATAACAGTGAATGGGAAACACTATCAAAAGCCTTTGTTAAATCTAAAAAAGCAGCTACTGATTGGTAACCTTCATCCAGTTCGTTAATCACATTTTCAACAAAGGCTATTATAGCTGTTACAGTGGATTTTTTTTGCCTAAAACCATGCTGTTCAGTGTCTAACAAATTATTATTTTCAAAATATTCTGTCAATTGTAATAACATGCATTTTTCAAAGAATTTTGACAAAGAGGGTAGAATTGAAAGAGGCCTATAATTAGACGGTTCATTTTTGTTTCCTTTTTTATATAATGGAATTATTTTGGATATTTTTAGCTGAGAAGGAAAAACACCTGAAATGAGGCATGCATTTATAACATGAAGAAGTGGTTTGAGAATTGCCCACTTAGCATCTTTAATTATTTTTGTTGGGATATTATCACACCCAGAGGACCATTTGCTTTTGATTGAATTTATTATTTGAATCAACTCCTCTTCTGAAATGGTTTTGAACCTAAAAGTATGATTAGTTAATACTGCATCTGTTATTGGTCAATTTATTATTCTCTTATTCATTTTAATTTCAGGAATAATTATATTCTCTACAAGGTCAGCATAAAAATTATTCAATATGTTGACTACTTTATAAGGATCAGTGACACATTTACCTTGGTGATTTAAAAATAGCTCTGTTTTTGATTGATCCTTGCTACTGTACAGTTCCTTTTTGATCAATTGCCAAATAGCTTTTGTAGGGTTATCTGATTTATTTATTATGTTTTCAAAATATTGCTTTTTCTTTTGTATTACAAGATTTCTGTATTTCCTTTTTTGCATTTTTAAGTGTTTTTTTTACACAAACATTTTTATTTCTCCTTTTTTGTCTATAGTTATCTATGAGCTTAGTCCGTTCATGTTTTATTTCCCAATCAATCCAATTTTTTCTTTGGGGGTTACTTCTAACATTTATTTTTGGAAAGTTTTTATCAAAATGATAGTTCAATACATTATAAAACAATACATTAACACAAAGCAACACCGACTACAAAAAACCAGCAATACACCCATCAACTCAGGTACATATTATTATAATTTATTGCCAGAACATCTAAAATCAATAACCACAATCAACAGCTTCGCTAAAAAGCTCAAAGAATAAACAGAATAAACAGGCCATATTACAAAACCACAGACTACATAGAACAGCACACATACCAACACCTCAAATGAGCAACTTCTTCAAGACCCCTCCAAGAGGGAAGAAATCTGACGACTCCCCGATCCGAAGATTGCGGCGAGGACTACGTGGTAAATGGGTAAATGGTAAATGGGCGGGCTGGGTCATTTTATTACCCTTGCCAATTAGGGATTATTTGTTTAGTAATGGGGGCGGCACACTTTTTTTATTAATGATTCCTGTGAGCACACTTTCAGCACAGGTTTATGGTATGGTTTATAGATCTGGAGCTGGAAATGGGCGGGCTGGTCATTTTATTACCCTTACCAATTAGGGGTTGTTTGTTTAACGGGGGTGGCACACTTTTTTGTATTAATGATTCCTGTGAGCACACTTTCAGCACAGTTTTTTTGGCATGGTTTATAGATCTGTAGCTGAAATGGGTGAGCTGGGTCATTTTATTACCCTTACCAATTAGGGGTTATTTGTTTAGTAACGGGGGCGGCACACTTTGTTTTACAATGATTCCTGTGAGCACACTTTCAGCACAGTTTTTTGGTATGGTTTATAGATCTGTAGCTGAAATGGATTGTCATAATTATTAGAAGAGCACATTTTTTTTTAATAACCGTTATAAAGAGCACACTTTTTTTGTATACATTAAAAAAAGTGTGCTGGAATGAGCGGGCCAGCTTCACGTCGCTGTGTGACTTGACTGACTCAGTCAGGAGGATTCAGTTGTTGTGTGTGACTCAGTTTTGTTTTGTTTTTGCATTTCATTCAATTCAATCTATCTAATCTTCTCTTCTTCTGTGCTGCTGTGTTCTCTCCTTCTCTCTGTGCTGCTGTGTTCCGTTCTGTTCTGTTTTCTTAATTTTTGTAGGTAGTTTTTTTATGTACTTTGATTAAGAAATTAACCTAGAAAGATTATTAATTATAAATTTAGTATTAGTATAAGTATAGGTTCATTTGAAACCTAGCCTACAAATAAATGGTACGGTATGCGATTTTATAAGTGCAAACATTTTAAGGGAAGTGTGAAAATTGTTTGAACCATCAAAATATAATTCATTCTCACTGTTTGTCCTGCTCTAATATAAAGACAATTAACACAACTATTGTGAAGTAGGCAGACCAGGGTTTATTGGAAACATTTCTGTTCTGGGTAAGTGTAATAAAGGTTATAATAATTCCGGTGAACACTTGTTTAAGAATGGTAGGCCTAGGCCTATCCAAGGAATACTCTGTAAGTTACTTCATGATTTGTTTGATGAAGTAAACTGTATAATAATTTCAGCATCAGGACTTTGGCTTACAATTGTTGGCAGGGCTACGCCTATTTTACTGCTTGCTTGCTGTAATTTACTGCCTTTTGCAAAACAAAAATAAGATCTATCATTCCTAGTCTAAAAGTTCCAGAAGTGAGTAACTTAATCATAAAATGAATACAGACATAAACCTTGTAACTTCATGCGAATTTAGAGGGAGAGAGTATGTTGTTAGTCTCAGAACTGTGAAGCAACCTGAAACAATTGAAGTCAAAGTTACCGATAAAAAAACATCTGAAGAATGGATAGGTTCCTACATTGCTTCCTATATTGAAAACCTCACTCTCAAAACTGGAAACTATAAACGGTTTGATACATTCATATCAATGTTAAAGTCAGCCCTTTTGAGCACTAGTCATTGTGTCACTTTGGATTTATTGAAGTTTGAGGACCTTGAAATGTTAAGAAGCAGATCAACTCAACCCAGAAGTTTTAGTGTACATACAACTCAGATATTAGCTTCGTCAACAAACAATAGGCGCTATCTCATGGTTACATACACAGTTGAGTTTGATCGAATTCACTATCCCTTAGCTCTAGAGTATTGTGGACCTCCTGATCCAAGAGTTCTTCAAGAAACAATTGAAAGACTTGAGAAGCAGGTTGCTGAATTGCAATTCCAACTTGTGAATAATGATTATGCTAACATAAAGAGCGAAATAGATGCTTTGCAAAAAAGGGTTGTTAATATTACTACAGAGAATGTTTCGTTAAAGGAACAAATTAAAAAATTGACATCTTTAAAAATAAACAAAGATTGTCATAAGGAAATATATGCTTTACAGAACCATATAAATGAGCTGGAAGATAAACTCCATTTTGAGAAGTCTGTTGTAGATAAGTTAAAAAAAGATAATATTTTATTAGCATCCCAACTAGAAGACATCATAAGATCAGAAAACCATTTGCAAGATCCAATTAATAGGTCAAGGATTACAAATGTTAATCCTCTCTATCAGTTGTACACAAAAAAAAGTAATATGATTTCTCCAAAAAGAAAGTGCCGTACTATGAGCTGTGCAGAAAAGCCCTTTAATAGAAGTAGACCTGTATCAAAAGAAAGAAAAGCACATTCTGCCAGAAGTTTTAGGGATGTAACATGCAGTTCAAGTGATGAATCTGCTTTAGGTAGAGCTAAAAGAGAGAGATTGAAAAGACCCTTCACCCCAACAAGGAATCGAGCTTCATCACCTAGCTTTTCAGATCTTTCACACAATTCAGAACTAAGTCGTTGTGCTTGTAAGAATTGTCTTCATGACAAATTTTCCAAAAAAGATGAGACTTTCAATTACAGATTCAAGGGTAAAACTGGGGAAAGAGCTAAACTATTGAAACGAATCCAGAGTTTGGAGAAATTAATAAGTGGAATTGTCCTTAATTAATTCAATAAAAATCAAATCCATTTGGAAGTCTTTAGAAAATATCTTGATTTTACCTGCAGTTAGTAGGGGCTCTGGGTTTTTAAAATCAATGAACAATATATCAAAGAAAAACATGTTTGTTTATTTATAAAACTAATCGTTTCAATAACTATTGCATAATGTTCAAGACCCTAAGTTTTACTTCAGATTTTTTTTTAAATAAATGTATGTCCCATAGAAGTTTGTATCCATTTATTTCAACTACATGATACTTAACTTAGGCTTAAAAAGTTTTTACAAACATTGTTTGTATAAAGAAAAATCTATATAACAGGCCTAATTTAGGCTATTTATCTTAGGTTATGTTAGTTGTCGTAAAACAATTGTACATTAATTATTCAAATCAAATCAAATCTTTATTGCCAGAACCTTTTACAATGCATAGCAGTGTCAACTAGTTAAATAATAAATATAACTATAAAACAGTGCACAGATAATCACAGACATTTTTAGTTATACTATACATGGTCATTAACATTAAGGAAAAACTCATTTATGTCATATGGACGAATAGGGACTAATCAAAAGGTGCTTAACGTTCTTCTTAAAACAGTTAAATTCTAAACATTTATAATGAGAGGGTAGAGAATTATACAGTTTTTTCCCATTTCAACAAAACAATTCAGAGTAATTTTTAAATTACACTCCGGAAATTCTAAGTGAGTTACCGTACAGTTTCTAGTGAAATAGTTATGAACATTTTTATTTGTAGGTATAGTATGTAAATTTCTTTTAATAAACAACAGACATTCAAAAATATACATTGCAGGTATAGTGAGTATGTTGAATTTCCTAAACAATGCTATTTGGGTAGTGCTCAATTGAATTGTTTTCTCCCTTGAATTACAATACGGATCCGATAGGCCTACTTATTCCGTACACCATGTATGTATTTTAAAGGGCGAGGATTGGTGTACAATACAATACAATACAATATTCTTTATTGTTCATTCGTTAAGAATTACAATAGTGTCAATACAATAGTGAATTGTACATGTTAATTTCCATAATTTTCATAAAATTCCTTTATTGAGAAATTGCTCAATTAAAATTTTATAATGACTTAATAATAAAATTAAACTGTCATAACCAAACCAAACCAACCAAACTTGCTGATAATGAAAAAAGCTTAGTCAAAAAGTTAGTGCCACCAGCGGGATTCGAACCCGTGACTCTCAGCATATCAGCCTGGCACGCTAATCACTAGACCACGGAGGCCGATGGCTGCAAACCGTATTGTTACGCTAATGGTGTTCCCTCAGCTAATGAGAAGCCCACAGCTGTCATCGTAAGCTCATCCATACCTCCCCTGAGTAAATACCGCTATATATTGCTATATATCAACTAAATGAATGTGATTTTTATGTTGGTAGAAGATAAAGATCGTTTGTGACAGGCATACCGCAACATTTATTTTTAATTTGTTAACTTACAAGCCCATAAGTGTATAATAGTGTTTTTATTTTAACATTAAAATTTTGCCTTGCACTATTTTTTAGCTAACTAGTGACCTGTAGGGGCCATAGCCCCTAATTTAGACACAATTGTCCATATGAAGGCAACTCCCCATTTCGTGGTAGTAAGTCAAAAATATATCTATGAATTTGTCCCTGAATTTTAAAACAGTAAGGCCCATTTCCCGGAATCTCTTTTTGTGGAGCGGAAGTCGACGCAAAAGCCATTGCACGGTTGTATTGCCTTATGTTTTTTTATGAAGTTAGAATCATGTAAAAACATTACTTTTAGTTTGTCATTTAATTGTGGTTGTGGCATGTTAATGAGTCCATTGTGGCTACATGTGTCAAAATGTCCATTTGTGGCCTCTGTGAAGTGAAATGCGCCACAATGCATGCAAGTGCTGTTAAAAGGACCTAGATTGTGAGAAACAACACTCAACTCATTTTCCAGCATTCTTCTGAAGGCAGGTTGTAAACCAGCTTGTAGATTTCTTTCATATTTAGGCCTTACATGACGTTCTCTTTCAGCATTTCTTGTGTTAGTTGAATTCCTGGATACTCTTCCACGTCTTGCAGGTCTTCCCCTACCCTGTCTAGTTACATCACTCATTATAAAAACGGAAAACAAAAAAAATTCCTGGAAAATCTTCCAGTTACTTCACTCATTATAAAAACGGAAAACCAAAAAATTAAACTAATACATTTCATTTTGAAACATTATTCAACAACTTTGACTTTCGGAATAAATGTAAACATTACAAATAAATAAGCAACAGCTGATTAGAATGCAGACGTTTTTTCAGTCCCCATGCTTTTCCCAAACTTTCACATTTATAATATTAGTTAGATTTTCCATATATAGGGAATAAGCTATTACCGTCTCATGGTAAGACCTATACCCGGGACCGATTAACTTTTTAGTTTTGAGGTCCCCAGAGGCCAAAAATACCCTCCGTTGAAATTCATATACACAGAATATTTACAGTATATTTATATATATATATATGCCCATTAGCGCGATAACTCGAGCAAAAATGATCTGTTTTGATTTTGATGAAATTTAGTTAAAACGTGTAAACCAACGTTTATTCAAACTTGTTCTCGAATCAGCATGATCGGACTATGGAAACGGGAGTTTATGGGGTAAAAATTATTTTTTCCCATTTTTGACTCCAAAAATATAAAATTTCACAATTTCTTTCCAGACCATTTTGTAGAGCTTAAAAAAAGAAATAATTTTGTATATTGAAGCTTTAGTGTATGCCTAACGGTTACAGGGATGATAAAAAAAAACTGTAAATTTAAAACTCATATATTATTTTTATGGAGATAAATAAACAGTTGTAGTTTTATTTGCTTGTTTATGGATATATTTTGATCAAATTGGCAATTTTCTTTATTTCATACTAAGCAATCAACATTTCAATAAAAAAACACACCTCAATATCTTCCCTGTAGCTGCAAACCTAAGTACTCATTCAAGTTATTTAAATAGGAAATAAATCTGAAAATTTCAGGGAATATTTAAGTAGAAATTCACCTGTGTAAATGGAAATTCGCTTAGTCTGCTAGGTTTGCTGCGGCAAGGGTATTAATTTTGTGATGGTTACTGATCACAAAATACAAGTCTAATGCCAACAGACGATATTATTTTTATCAATCATTTTAGCCTATGGATTGCATCCTATAACTGATTGATATTGAAAGAATAAGAATAAGAATAAGAACTTAAGTTTCTTACCTAGAAAGGTAGGTATTGCCTTAGCAATCCTATTTCATCAATCCGAAATTAATTTCAGACCCGAAGTTCCATAATAAAAAAAATGTTGTCAACCTAGACTCCAACTGATGATGGATCTCCACCCAAATTAATTTTGGATTGATAAAATAGGATTGCTTAGGTAAGACCTCTCAGTATCAATTAACATTATTTTTGTTTTCACATACATTGCCAATCCCAACACCAACACCAGACTTGTAGCGCTAGTTACTCAGCTCCGCCTGACAGGACTTCTAGAACTAGCTACTGAAACAAGCACTGTGTGACAGGGCCTTAATTAAATTGTAATAACAAATTGGAATTGACAATTTAATATTTAAAAAAATGCATAATTTTAATTAAATGTGACTGTTAAGGAAATAATTACTGTACTGCTCTCAAGCGTTTAAAAACTTGCAAATTGTATGACCAATGTTTCCTATAAAACATAATAATAGGACACTAAAAATTAGTTTGATTTGTAGGTAATGGGATTATGGCACCAATGAATTCTCTACCAAAAGCTGTTTTGTCTTCTCCGAGCCAGAGTGACAATCAAGGATCCACATTGAACACGAGTCTTAACAACACATCATCCATAATTCTGAGCAGACTCAAATTTGAAGAAGCCATTGAGAAAAGCAGTGCTCAGATAGAGAAAGAAGCGCATCAGAAGCGACTTAAAAACTTGAGAAAAGAACTTGACTTTCTCCAGACTACCTCTTGGAGATATTCACCCATAGATATCTACATCGGACAGTAAAAGGTTCTTATAAACAAATTTAATTTTGCTGTTGTAGGGAATTCAATGTTCTAGTTAGACTGCAGTTTGCCTGCAAGCCAACACAGTTTAGCGTTGTGGAATTGTGGTGATATTCCAAGTACTGTACAAAATGTCAGCTGACATTCTTAATGTTTTAGTCAGATTTGTTTATTTATTCTGTTTAATTCTTGTATTCAGTTTTGCTTAATAAAACCTAAGTTTTATTCTCTAAAGGTTTATTACAATTTATTAAGCAAATATTATCATAATTAGTCTGAGAATCAGTATCTATAGGCTTCCTATAAACCATTCTATTCAATCACTTAATACTAGAGAAAAAAAATGGATAAACTGTTAAGACCAGAAAGATTTGAATGTCTACCTGATACAACCAAAGCAGCATTTGAATTCAAACATTGGTTGAGGACTTTTGAAAATTTTGTATCCTCTGTTGATAAAGTAAGTGACGAAGAAAAGTTAAAACTACTCATAAATTACATTAGTCACAACGTATATGAATTTATTTCAGAAGCAAAGACCTATGAAGATGCTGTGAAGGTTTTACAGACCCTCTATGTGAAACCTCAAAATGAAGTTTATTCAAGGCATATATTAGCTATTTCCAAGCAACAACCTGGGGAGTCTGTAGATCAATTCTTACAAAAACTGAAACTTTTGAGTAAAGATTGTAATTTTCGTAATGTTAATGCAGAAGAAAGTAAAAACGATTACATTAGAGACTCATTCATCACTGGGCTATTATCTCCTCAAATACGTCAAAGACTACTAGAGAACAATACTCTGAAATTAGAGGATGCCGTTGCTCAAGCAAGAGCTCTAGAATCAGCTCAGAAACACTCAGAAATCTACCAACAAACTCATCAAAATCAATTCTTGAACAGTACTTTAAATCAAGAGATGAATCAAGAAGAATGTTATAAGGAATCATCACTGGCTGCCTCAGGGACAATAAAATGCTTCTTCTGTGGGAAAGCCAAACATCCTCGAAATGTCTGTCCAGCCAGGGATGCTGATTGTCGAAACTGTGGGATAAAAGGTCATTTCTCAATTGTTTGTCGTCGTAAAAAATCAGGTAAATCTTCTAATCTTTCAGCCATGGAGAAAAGTCATGAGTCGGGACTGCTGGCTGCCGCTCCTCGATGTTTATCAAAGTCTGTAGTTACAGTTAAGATTAACAATGTTGTCGCTGATGCTCTAATAGATACTGGTAGCTCTGAAACATTCATAAATAAAACATTCGTTGACAAAACAAAGTTTTTAGTTGTTCCTGGAGGAGGCCAGATTTCTATGGCATCTGTAGACTTACAATCCCGTATCTGTGGGCACTGCTTCGTTGATATTGAGCTTTTAGGGCATCAACATATAAAAACTAAGGTTTCAGTTTTGCCTAATCTCTGTGCAGACATGATAATTGGGCATGATATTCTCTCTAAGTATACAAATCTATGCATATCATTTGGCGGTTCTAAGCCAGCATTAACTTTGGGCCCTTGCAGTTTGCCTACAGCTATTGTTGAACCTCCTGAACTATTTGCTAATCTTTCACCAGATTGTCACCCAATAAAAATAAAATCTCGAAGGTTCTCCCTTGGTGAAACAAGATTTATAGAAAATGAAATAGGTAAATTGTTGTCTGAAGGAATAATTGAAGAGAGCAATTCTCCTTGGAGGGCTCAAGTCCTGGTTACCAAAAATGAGAATCACAAAAGACGGTTAGTCATTGATTACTCTCAAACTATTAACCGTTTCACTAACCTTGATGCTTATCCTTTACCAAATATTGAAGATCTTGTTTCAAAAATTTCTAAGTATGAGGTATTTAGTACAGTTGACCTCCGAAGCGCTTACCATCAAATCCCTATTTGTGAAAATGAGAAAAAATACACTGGCTTCGAAGCAGGTGGAAAACTATATCATTTCAACAGAATACCTTTTGGAGTTACCAATGGAGTTGCTTGTTTCCAGCGTGTAATTAATGGTATAATCAGTAAAGAAAAGATAGAAGGGGTTTTTGCTTATCTAGATGATTTGACGGTTTGTGGTAAAGATCAAGAAGATCATGATAGAAATCTTGCAAATTTCTTGGCAGCAGCCAACAAGTACGGGCTGACTCTGAATCAAGACAAATGTTCATACTCCCAAAGATCAATCAGACTTCTGGGATACCTAATTGAAAATAACACTATTAAACCGGATCCTGAAAGACTTGAACCCCTTCTGAACTTACCTGTTCCTAGTAATTTTGATTTATTAAGGCGTGCAGTTGGAATGCTAGCTCACTATTCAAGATGGATCCCTCAATTTTCTGAAAAAGTACACAGATTAGTTAAATGCAAAACATTTCCAATTCCTCCAGAAGTTGTTTCTGACTATGAAAAACTGAAACAAGAGATAGCTCAGTCTGCTATTAATACTATTGATGAATCTATCCCATTCGTAGTAGAAACTGATGCATCACAGAATGCACTTGCAGCGACTCTTAGTCAAATGGGTCGTCCAGTTGCTTTTTTTTCACGATCGTTATCAGACAGTGAAAAGAGACACTCGATAATAGAAAAGGAAGCAGCAGCTATTGTCGAGGCAGTCAGGAAATGGAGACATTTCTTAGTTGGACGGCATTTCAAGATTGTGACAGATCAAAGGTCGGTGTCATTTATTTTTGATCAAAAACACAGTAGCAAAATAAAGAATGAGAAACTTCAACGATGGAGGCTAGAACTGTCTTGTTTTAGTTTTGACACTGTCTACAGGCCTGGTATTCAAAATACAGTCGCTGATGCCTTCACTCGACTCTGCAGTTCGATGCCAAATCAAAGTTTAATTGACTTACATAAGTCACTATGTCATCCAGGCGTTACTCGAATGGTGCACTGGGTCCGAACCCACAATCTTCCTTACTCAGTCGAAGATGTGCGAAAAATGACTGCAAGCTGTCCACTATGTGCAGAGATCAAACCAAAATTCCTGAAAACTTCTAGTGGACATCTCATCAAAGCTATGGCCCCATTTGAGAGGCTTAATATGGATTTTAAAGGGCCAATCCCTTCAGTAACAAATAACACCTATATTCTAACTATAGTTGACGAATATTCACGTTATCCTTTTGCACTCCCCTGTCCTGATATGAGCTCAAGAACTATTATCAAACAACTTCACAAAGTCTTCAGTATTTTTGGTACACCATCATATATACACACAGACCAGGGTAGCGGTTTTATGTCGGTAGAACTAAAATCGTTTTTACATAATTTGGGAATAGCTACAAGTCGTGCAAGTCCATATAACCCACGTGGAAATGGGCAAGTTGAACGATTCAACGGAGTAATATGGAATACTGTTCAGCTAGCATTGAAATCGAGAGGGATGAAAATAACTCAGTGGGAAAGTGTTTTAGATGAAGCCCTTCATTGCATCAGATCCCTCTTATGCACACCTACGAATTGTACACCGCACGAAAGAATGTTTAAACATCAAAGAAGATCTAGCAATGGAGAAACTATCCCTACTTGGCTGACTATTCCAGGAAAAGTTCTTATGAAGAAGCACATAAGAGGCAGTAAGTTTGACCCACTGGTCGAAGAGGTTGAAGTAATTGAGACAAACCCAAAATATTCTTTAGTCCGCAATAAAGAAGGAAGAGAATCAATTGTGTCCTTAAGATATTTAGCACCAAGAGGAAATGTAATGCAAAATCCAACAAATCTTACTTATGAAAACGAAGACGGTGATGAACAGTTGGAACAGAACACTACCTCGTCAAAATCGCTCCTTCTGGAACAGAACACTACTTCGTCACAACCGCTCCTTCAAAACTATACAGATTTATGTTTACCACCAGCAACGTCAGATGGTGTTCCTGAAAATGATGAACATCAAACCAGCAGCGCTCCTTGCAATCAACCTCATCCACCACGTCAGTCAACCAGACCAAAGGTGTTACCTAAGAAATTCGATGTGTATAAAATTTACTAGAGCGGAAGAATGTGGTGATATTCCAAGTACTGTACAAAATGTCAGCTGACATTCTTAATGTTTTAGTCAGATTTGTTTATTTATTCTGTTTAATTCTTGTATTCAGTTTTGCTTAATAAAACCTAAGTTTTATTCTCTAAAGGTTTATTACAGGAATATCACATAGTTGATTGTGACTAAGTGTCTTGGATCATGGACATATTTAAATACTTTTGACTATGAGTAGAAGGATACGTCCCATTCCATATAACATCCTATTCTATGTTAAATCTGTAGCCAGTTTTACAATTGAAATTTGAAATTAATGCAGTTGTTAAACTAATGTCCAAAAGAGTGCTTGTTGCTGTGAATTAGGCCTACTGGTTTCTATTAATACTGAGCCAGTTAATGATGGTAAAATATAACATTTATATGACGTCAACTTTCTTAGTATCAAAAACTAGTAGCACACTCTGTGATAGGCTGTTCAACTATGTTATATTTGAATTGAAAAATGGCTACAGCTGGTCAATGAATTAGATATCAAGGTATCTAAAAGTAAATGTTTATACCTACCATTTTGTACCTAAATCATCCGCCTTCTACTACTCTCTGTGATGTACAGACTTAGGGTGCTGTCAGTTGGAACAACTAGGGTGTGCACTTTTTTGGCAACCAGTAGTCACTGGCATTGAGAGGTTAAAATACATACAATTTTGTAAAGAAATTTCATGGTTTAAGCAAGCCAACAACCTACCTCATCCTATAGAATAACCTAACGTTCGCAGTTTTACAGGGACGGGATGTGGTCAGCAGTCACCAAAGTAGGTCAGCTGCTGGGACTGAGCCGTCCAGAGCCTCAGGTGGACTGGGACGCAGTGGCAGCAGTGTTAGATGCTGAGGACGAAACACACCACAGCGACCTTGAAGATGACGTTAAGGTTGACAACACCGTTGAAGGCCAGGTCGCTTGTCAACACAGGACAGGAGTCATCACAGAACTGTATCAGACTCATGGATACATCACTAGTGTAAGTCCTTGTTCATAGTTATTTGTTTTTTGGGTACTTTCCTGTTAAAGGGAACATTCATTATTATCGATGATTTATTTTCGATATATCGATAGTTTTGTTTTACTTCACGATTGGTATTCCTTCTGTTTTAATATCTTCAAACGCATTTAAAAATTACAAATTAAGAACTAACCTTGTCTAGGCAAAAATAATAGCCTATATATTGAATTAGGACATGAAACTATTCTAAACTGACCTAACATAACTAACCAAACTTGCTGTATAGGCTAAGTTACCGTTTCAAAATTCCATTTGATAACAGAAGAGAAAAGGCATATGGGGTGTGATACTAGAAGGCTATCAAACGGATTTTTGAAATGTTACAGCAAGTTTGGTTGGTTAGGTTAGTTTAGAACAGTTTCATTTTAATATAGGCTAATATTTTTTAAATTGTTTGTTGATTCTGAACAATATTTATTTACTGTATCCTATATCGTACTTGTCAGCTGATATGTTTCAATTTGTTACTATCAATATATCGGATGGAAAACAAAACTATCGATATATCGAAAATAAATCATCGATAATAATGAATGTTCCCTTTAACAGGAAAGTACCGTTTTTTGTTACCCTGCAAACCCCAAACTCTAAAAACTCTAAAACTCAAAACTTACTTTGCCAATTTAAAAAAAAATTTTTAAAACGTTCTTTTACATTTTATGGTGCTAGCTTTAGTTTGGAATTGTTTTACATTTTACTTCAAGCTAGGCCAAGAGGGTCGTAGAATTACTGGTAAGCCGTTGGTGTTTGCGAGAATTCGAATACAAGACTTCGGTAATTGAAGCATTGTGCTCTACCAAAATAATTAATAATTCATAGACCAGCCTGCTCCCCTGTCTGACCAAGTAGGCCTATTGTTTTCTAACTCATTTACCAGCTTAAGGTCTTGGTTAAGAGTCACCTTCAGGTCTCGTAATACCGATTACTGTAGTTTTTGCATTTTGATTGTATAATCTTATTTAATACAGGCTTCTAGTGGAGAAGAGGGAGAAAATCGCCCTTTGTACTTCCAGTTGAAGAATGCTCCAGAAAACCTTAAGGTTGGCAACCGTGTTGTGTTTCTTGCTTTCCGCTTAGCTGAGGATAGTGACTGGGTTGTCAGGAAGGTGTTGTATGTCGACAATGAACGCTGGGATGATAAAAATGAAGATGAAGAAGAAGACAACACTCAGCAGTCTGTTGTCAAGTAAGTGGCAATAAAAATATTGTATTATTATTACCATTGTTATGGTAAAAATTAACTTAGGGATGCGATTTGACATATTTTTATCTCAAATATGGATGTAGGAGCATTGTGTATTACTGACTAAAAACCACCAGTATTTTAGCCAGGACTTTGCCCACTTATCAAGGACAACTGGGTCCATTTTCAATTCATCTAAAAGTTTCTGACCTTTCTCACGATCAAACTGGCAACCTTTGGAATATTTGGTGAGCACTGTAATCACTCTCCTACCAAGATTTTTTCACAATATTACCATTTATATATGTTTATACTGTTAATATGTTAATGCTGGTTATGCATTCGCATTGTACTTTTCTGTTAAGATTTTCTTGTTTCCCATCATAATTTGTGGCAATCATGCAGGTTCCCCTCTCACTTTGACGGTAATGTTGGTGTGCTTGTAGTTGTGTGAATCATGGTAGGTGCTATACATTTTTTCTCACTGCTGAAATGACAAAATGAAATTGTTCTCTCCCTACTCTCATTCAATAAATTGCTCATGCTATGCAAAATTAAATATACAGGAATTTTGACTTTAGTGAAATGTAAATTGTCTAAAACTAACCAAATAAATTACTGAAGAAAATTTAAATATTTTCATAACAGTAAAATAAGTTCTTATGTAGATGTAGTAGGCCTACGGTAAAAGAAGATTTACATTTAATTTGTCATTGATTTTGCAGGGAGGAGTGTGAGACCGCTTACAAACACGTAATTGGGAAGATCACAGGGAGAAAAGGTCGAACAGTCTTTGCTGAGGATGTCCAATTTTCTTTAGACTCAGTAGAGATAGATTTTATTCCTGTAGAGGGTGAGTATGAGCTCTTCCATCCTTGACTGTTTAGGTAAAGCATGTAAGGTACCAAATTTTAAGTGGGGTAAAAACGTACTACGAATAAATGGACACCAGAACTTACCCGATTTTTAACCACAATAGCCTACTCCGATGCCTATGTGTTGGCCATAGCTTGGGCTATGGGCCAAAGAACGTAGGCCTATTTTTATTCACTGTGAAGTACACAAACACATCCACAACTACATATTTATTCATAATAGCACTTCGTTTCACATGATAAAGTTAAACCGGCCGATTTTACAGATATTTAACGCCGCCGACGACATAACCCCAAACTGGTGTTTATTTGTTGACAGACCACAGACGAAAACTAGACCGGCTCAACAAGTGAATTTGCGATCAGCTGTTGTCTAGTACTACTTGAGTTCGCCGCTTGAGCGCGTAAGCCTCGAGCGGGCAGGAACGAAGGATTTTACTCCAAGACAGGATTATTCGCTCACACGCCGTCTACAAAGTAACTTCGACGTTACATCTACGCTCGCACGATAATCGACACGACCGTACGATTTTGTTACAAAGGTTAGCTAGCATATTTAGTTAGGACCTTTACACGTTTTACGTTATTTACATTTCACGCAATTCTTAATCTATTATTCATATTCGCTTTATTAAAGTCCCGATTCGAATTGTCTAAATTTAATAACTTAACTTGAGTCTCGACCCGCCAGTTCCTGCCTGCCAGTGACTAGCGGTGGATATCTTTTGGTTCGGTTAAATTAATTTGCTCCGAAATTACATTTATTCTGTTCGTTTAACGATTAGTTATTACTTAAATTATTCTAGTCAATTCGTCGTTTAATACCCCGAGACTTGTCGTCTGAGTTCTAAACCCCGTCTTTGGCGGGTGAAAGAATCGAGTCTTGGGAGCAGGCTGATTTGAACAATCAGCTACGTAAATTAATACTAAATTTATTTTAATTCATCTCACGTTAAATTATCCGTCCAGTTATATTAATTAGGCCCCGACGACTCTGTAGGGATTGGGTTTTACGTCATATTACATTTTACATTATTTACCTAGGCCTTTAGTTAATTATTTTAAAGTTCATTACGAGTAATTGAATCCCATTGGCTTAAGATTGAATACTCGTCGGTCCCACAGAGTCATTCAAAAAGTTAGGCAAAATGATCCAAAACACTTTAACGAAGGTAAGGATGATATATAGCTCCAACTGAGCGTCTGCAGGATTTCCTGAACGTTTCCTGAGCTCTGAGCCTTCGGTTAAATTTTAAATAAATTGATCAGTCAAAGCCGTGACAACTTCGTATCGACCCCTGGATTTTTTCTCGGCTCCTTCTGAGCACTCCGGGGAAGAAATTTGAGTGTGGCTGGTTCTAGGGGTAGGCCTAGCCTGACTTTGGTGAATGCTGGTTTATTCCCCCCCTAGAATTTTGCGTCACAAGCAATTCATTAAGTTTAGCTTGGTTAAAAGGTTTTTGTATATAAAAGAGATCAGTAATTAATTGACAGTAGCTCACTCTTCTCTGTGGCTCAATTCAACTATGATAATTTTAACATGATTTGACATGGCAATCCTTTCTAAACTAAACCGTTTAACTCAGAACTCTAGCATTGATGATATTTTTGACAGGTGACTGGGTGAGTCTTAGCTCGCTGGTACAACCCCAGTCCGAGGGAGACACGGTGTTGATGGTAGATCGGGTGAGTCCACTGCGTAGCTGCACTCGCGAGGGTCAGGTGAGCCACTGGACACCCGATTGTCAGCTCGGCATTGTAGACGGAGAGGTGGTGTTCAGCAAAGACGCTTGTGAGCCTGGATATCTGCCCAGAGTTGGCGATCAGGTAAACACACCGATTTGTGATTCTACGAAAAACACTGTGGTGATTTGGTTTTTCAATATCTCTAACAAACATTTTCAAAATAGGACCTTGACCAACTGTTGTACTGAGTTGTATCGATGTTGAGCATTGGTAAGGAGCTCTTATGAAGATGCTCAAAAACTAGTGGTAGTGTGAGGGAATTTAATTTTACTAGACGGTCTACTAAATGTATTTAGAGTTGCACAGCAGATCTAATCAAGACGAGATTCAAACCCTGAATCTTCAGCGCTGACTCTTAGTACGGGAGACAACGCCTTAGGCTACATTTATCAGGTAGACCTGACAGTATACCGTACTCCCAACACTTGCCTACTTAAAGCCCTAGAGTTGTAGTTCTAAACTGACTGTCAGGTAACAGCACATGTCGTGAAGCTTTCAACTTTTGTTGAGCTAAACTCACATAGATAGTTGTTAAGTGGATGATTTGTTATGTTAATCTTGTGTTAAATATATTGCTATAGGAATTTAAAGGGCTGAGAAAAAACACACTCTCGAATATAGCATTGACACTAACTAAAAAACAGTGTTTGATCTCACATAACAGGTAACCGTTTACTGCATTGAAAGTGATCAAGGTCAACTGACATGGAGGGCAGTGCAAGTGGTTGCAACTTCGGAGAAAGCCATACAGTCATCACAGGATCAAACATTGACATCACTGCTACAAGACAAACAAGGCATTGTTATATCTGAAAACACCAACTTTGGAATAGTCTCCCTTGGACAGGAGAAGGATATCAAGGTGAGTGGTTGCCAAATATTTGAATCCTATATCTAAAACAAGCGCATGTATAAGCAAACTTTTATTTTCGTCCGAGAATTTTTGATTTTTTTGTTGAATATGGGGTATTTGGTCACGAGAAAATCGATTGAAGTTGGTTACAATGCTGGGAAAATCCGGTTTTTATCATACAGCCCTTGAAAGTGCCCATGTTATCGGCAACACCTTTTTATAGCGGCAGTTAAAAAAAAAAAAAAACTGTTACAGGTTATTTTTATTGTCATAATATGATTTGACATGTAATCAAAAATAACTGCATTGGTTACTTTTGACTAAACATTTAAAACAATAGTTGTAATAAGTTAGTTTATTTGGTAGATATTAATAGTGTTCTTGAAACCTATAAATTTGCTATGTCAGCGGATAAGAGATATTATTGAATAAGCATTATGCACCCACATTCCAAGCGAACAATATTAGAAAATTTAAATCAAGAATCAAGAATTTTATTGTCATTGACCTTTCTTTGTACAAAGGAATCTAGACATATTCAAAACATTCCAAATTAACAAATAAAATGCAGCAAAGACAAACAAATGAAATACCTTGCTATCCTTGCTACACCTAATGCTGAAACTGGAAAGATGAACAACAAATTATCCAAATGCAACTGGGCAATGAAAAGGTTTGCAAAAGTTTTGATTCAATAATTAACTTATTTAATGAATGTTTTATTGAATTCTAGTAAAACTCGGGTCTCCCGGTACTATTCATGTAAATTGAGATGACCAGATCATTGAGATGGCAAGATACATCATCTTGCGATAAAAGAAATGTAATGCAAACATAATATGGATTAAAACGGGATAAAGTGGATTGGAGCATCAGTGGATGAGTGTGTTTGTTAAAATGTTGCCTTTACCCTTCATATGGGGGCGTCGTACGAGTATGCTAGCTGTTTACCTGTGACACAGTAGAGGATTTGGTAAACTTAGTAATGGCTTCATATAACGGACAGGAGTTACATTCGTTTTAAGTTTTGTTTCCTATGCACTGCCCCAACACCCAGGAAATCAACTGTTTTCAAAAAATATCTATAGTGTGAAAAAGCTTGCCAACAATGCTTTATGAATGAAACATTTTTAAAAATCTGTTCTTTGCACTAATATAGATTTTATTTAAATTGTTTGGATACCCAAGGGGTTAAAAGGCTTGTTGGAGTTTGTCGATGTCGAATTAGGAAGATGGGAGTTGAGAACCGAGATAGGAAGATCCAAGTTAGGCTCATCTTACTAAGGGTGTGCAAAGCAGCAAAAAATGTTCGATTCAATTCTAAAGATTTTCGATTCGAATCAATGCAGCTCTAGTCGAAGCAATACAGCATTTTTCTATTCATACTGTCAATGGAGTGAATTAACAATAATCACAATTTACCACTTGTTGATGTGGTATTTATGGCCTGTGTTATGTTGGTATGATGGCCTATTTATACATATGACATAGGCCTATATGAGTTTTAGGTGAAAAAATATTTATTTTCAATCATATAGAAGAACCTATATTTCTGGAAATGTCAGTGAACTGCTTTATTTACCTATTTCATAATTTTTACTTGCAGAATCATATATTGTTAAGCACGCTACTTATGTTATAGTTATGATATTGATTTTACAAATAAAGATATATTTTGGTGTAGACGAATAAAAACATTTGTAAGATGTATACTGAAACTTTTAATTAGTTTACATTGATAAAATGAGAGGTTAGAATCAGACCTAAAAACTACAATGTATACATAGCTTCAGACCTACAAAAATACCAAATTTATCATTCTAAAATATCAGTCTTACTAGTTGAGTATCAAGTAACAGTTTTTCAGACTTTAGTTGTTTTTACTTTTTAGAATGATTTTGGAGTGACTTTTTTGCTATGTTTACAATAGTAAAACATATCTAACACTGCTTACACTTAACAACACTTCTCATCATTTGCAATGTCAAAACAAAAAATTATAAAACAATTAAAACAATATTTACTTGCAAAAAATTAAATAAGAACACCTTCGCAAAGGAAACGCAACAACAACGCGCTCCTGTATTGCGGGTATTGCATTGACTTTCTGCAGGCGTTTTCGTGTATGCATACTGATTCCCCCATGAATAGAATCGGGTTTTGACCACCACTGATTCGAATCAAATCAGAATTTTGATGCATTTTCGATGAACCTCTAATCTTACTCATCACTTGCAAAATGTGTTTCTTAGCAGCTGAGCAGCTTGCCAGATATAGAGTTGAGATTGCACCTCACTTGTTTTTGATGGTAACAGCTGTCGTCTGTTTCAGATTGACATAAGTAATGAAGGTGCCAGTCCTCAGACGCTGATTGGTGTTGAGAAGACAAATCGAGAGTCACAGTTTCAGCTTCCACCGTTCTCCTTCCCTCTCCCTACCACCCTACAGCCTCATGACACACTGCATGTCACTTCTAAGGTACAGGGAAGGTAGGTGTCAGTTATTGTAGCCTATAGCACTGCCCTTTATGTTGTGTTTTGGGTAGGCCTACAGGTTGAAACACAATTAATAGGGAAAAATGTCCTGATTTTCACAATAGTATTTTCAATAGTAAATACACCCACCATGATAAGTTAGGTAGTGTTGCAGCTGTAGCCTCTCATATCATATGAATCTATATTTCGATTTAGTTGATGTACTAATTTTTTCCTATTTATTTTTGGAAGATTTATAAGTGAGACGAGGTTAAGCTTAGTGGGTTTCAAAATGTACACCATACAATGTTTGGATGATTTTTTTCAATTTAGTTTGATTATGTAATTAAAAGCTGGTAAATTTAATTTTTGTATGTAAGCCAGGCCCGTTTTTTACCATGTCAGCGCCCTAGGCACAACTAATAGTAGCGCCCATTTGCAATATATAACAGGGTGACCACCAACCGGGAAATCCGGGAACTAAGCGTGAATTTTTTTGAACCAGGAATTATGTGTTAATTTTTTATTTCTACCTGGGATTGTCAATTTACAACAGTGACGTTTCCGTGACCACGGAAGACGGGAGGCGATAATATGTCTCCACAAGGCCTCGAGGGAAGATAATAATATCTAAACGACCGCGGGATATGATCATGATTTTACCGCGATCGCGCAATACGATAATGAGATCCACAGAGCCGTGAAGGATAATCAGAATATTGCCGCGATCTCATGATACGATGATAATGTCTAAACGACCATGGGATATGATCATAATTTTACCGCGATCGCGCAATACGATAATGAGATCCACAGATCCGTGAAGGATAATCAGAATATTGCCGCGATCTCATGATACGATGATAATGTCTAAACGACCATGGGATATGATCATAATTTTACCGCGATCGCGCAATACGATAATGAGATCCACAGATCCGTGAAGGATAATCAGAATATTGCCGCGATCTCATGATACGATGATAATGTCTAAACGACCGCGGGATATGATCATGATTTTACCGCGATCGCGCAATACGATAATGAGATCCACAGAGCCGTGAAGGATAATCAGAATATTGCCGCGATCTCATGATACGATGATAATGTCTAAACGACCATGGGATATGATCATGATTTTACCGCGATCGCGCGAGACTATGATAATGACTAAATGACCGCGGGATATGATCATGGTCCACACAACCACGGAAAACAGTCAGAAATTTGCCACGATCGCGGAAGACGATAATGATATTCACATAACTGCGGGATATTATTAACATCTTGCCGTAATCGCGGGAGACAATTACGATGTCTTCACGACAGCGCGAGACGATTACGATGTCTTCACGACCGCGGGAGACGATAACAATGTCTTCACGATCGTGCGGAGACGATTACAAAGTATTATATTGTCTGTGATTACGATGTCTTCACGACCGCGGGAGACGATAACAATGTCTTCACGATCGTGCGGAGACGATTACGATGTCTTCACGATCGCGGGAGACGATTACGATGTCTTCACGACCGAGGGAGACGATTATATGATGTCTTCACGACAGCGGGGGACGATTGCGATGTCTACAGGATCGCGGGAGTTACAATAATGATGTCTACTCTACACGGCTGCGAGGGATGATCAGAATTTTACCGCAATCGCGTAAGACGATGATAATGTCCACTCAACCACGGGAAAGATCAGAAATTTGCCTCATTCGTGAAAGACGATGATGATCTCCAAACAACCGCGGGAGATGATTACCATTTGCCGCAATGGCGGGAGAGGATGACAATGCCTCACGACCATGGGAGGCGATGATGTCTTCACGGCTGTAAGGGATTATCAGAATTTTATCGTGATCACGCAAGAAGATGATAATGTCCACACGACCCCGGGAAAAGATTACAATTTTGCCTCATTCGCGGTAGACGGTGATAATCTCATCACGACCGCGGGATGTGTTCATATATTGCCGCGATCTAGGAAGACGATAATTATGTCCACACATCCGCTGGAAATAGTCAGAACTTTGACGCGATCGCGGGAGATGGACGATGATGACGTATATACAACCGCGGTAAATAATTAACATCTTGCCGCAATTGTGGGAGACTGTTAAGGTGTCTTGACGGCCGCAAGGGATTGTCAGTTTACCGCGATCGCATGCAAAAACGGCCACAATTTTTTTTCTTTTTTCCAATTTTTTGGCGCCCCCCAAAAAAGCGAATTGCCTCGCGCCCTAGGCACGTGCCTACCTTGCCTATTCGGTAAATCGGCCCTGATGTAAGCTATAGCTAAACTAAATTTCCTCCATCACAAACTCCCTAATCAACCTCATCCCCACCCCCTAAAAATATCAAAATAATATTAATACACTCTCATTTTATCTGTACAGGTTTGTAGGAAGATCCAGTGAATTGTTGAGATTCCATTTTGAAGGGTTTGAAATTGGAAGACAATTGGCAGTGGACGTTCAGAGTGCGTCTTTAACTACTTCCTTGGCCGAAAGTAGAAAAAGTGGGTACAAGCAAACTGAGCAAAAACCTCTCACTGTAAGGTAGGTCTGGATTTGTTAAAGGCGTAACAAAGTAGTAAAAAGTAGTAAGATTAGTTATTGTGTTTGATTGTTTCACACAGCTTAGTGTGCTAGGAAGTTGCAAACAAAATATGACCCTATTACTATTTAAAAACTTTTTTGTCCCTGCATTGTTTAAATTTTGATGTTATAAATGCTGTAATATGATTGGGGATTTTTTTAATCTACAGTATTTGTAATAATAGTTATTACAAAAAGGGGAATTCTATGAATTTCTAGAATAGTTTTTAATAATGCTACGACATGTTGTGATGTATATTGTTTCAGTCATTATTGTCAACCCAGTTCATGTAAATCATGTACAATAGGAATAAGGAATATTTTGATTGATTGGTTTTTATTGTTATAGGAAACTTTTGGCAACAAGAAACGGATTCATCGTCCCCGGAGTCAGGCCAATGAAGCCAGCAAATTTTGTACCTGTACACTTAGGAAGATTCACTATACCCGAAGAACTAGAGAGAATAGCATTAGGGTCTGATAAAGCAGTCAGGTAATAACATTGTGTCGTGGTTGTTACTAATCTGGAAGTTTTAGTATTTGTATGAAGCATTCATTGGCAACTATTATGTGTCCTAAAAATACTGGGTGCCCATAACATACAAATTCTCGGATTTAAAATAGCAATAATTAGTTAATTTAGTCTTTTCTGAAACCTCTTAGTCTGTGCCTTTGACTATATTTTTTGACTGAGAAACTAAATACTTAAATCAAACAACCGTTTAGTTGAACACAAGTTGCAATCTTATTCTATACTTACTTAGTAAAAATGTTTGTGCAGGACATATGAAGTGATTGCCGAATTACTGAAGAAATATCCTTCTCTTGCGGGATCCTTGAATGGCCAGAACTATATTGACAGATGGGACAAGGTTATACATGTTGAGGAAGTGGCACACAGAGCAAACATAAGCCGGTAAGGATAAACTTACTTTTTTACAAATAATTTGATATTAACAAGTACATACATTAATGTTTTGAATATATTTAGAGTTAGTTTGTGAACCATGTTCTTCAAGACGGGTGGCATATATTTATAGGCATGCACTGTGGATGCGATACTCACTGGTGTGTATTAACGTCCGCACGAGTGAGTACGACTATCCACAGTACTATCCTGAAAATTAGACCAATTTGTATAAACCAAGGCAAAAATGTGGTTCGGATTCCACTATAAACTGTAGGTCCCTTAGTTGCCATTAGCTGTATGGGCTATTAATTAACAGCATTGTCTAAGGAATAAGTCGACCTTAGTCACTAACAAGACTACAAGATTGCACCACTCATCCTACACTCATCTCCATTCATATTTGGCTTAAAATACCTACTTTGTATAGTCACCATTTCATTAAAAAGTGTTAAATCTAACGTGTGTTAAGTTTAAAGTATTAAAGTATTCCCCCTGTTTAAGCAGAAACAACTTTTGAACATTGATGCAGTTTAAATCCTTTAGTTATGCACTTTATGTAAAATAATTACAACCATCAATATACCACATGACACACAGGAATTATATGTAATATCCCATGCATAGAAGAGCTCTTTACAAAGGTTCCATGTGATATTTGGGTAGAGAAATCTACTAAAACTTTGTTGTAATAAAATTAGTCATAAATTGCTTTAAGATTTTCTACATTTCATGGTCACTCTTGTCAGTAGACCCTCAGTTGTATGATGAAGCCCTACAGTAGCATGTATTATAAAAATTTACCTGTTGAAATGAAATGAATTCACTCATTGACTTCTTGAGAGTAGTAATCATCCATTCTATATGGACCAGCTGTATCAATCTTTTATTCAAATCAAATAGAACATAGCACAGAGCCCTGCTGTCAGAATGTGACTTAAGTTTTTGGTATTGTTATTTTGGTGTGACATAAAAGATGCAACAGTGTAAAAAGGGGTCCTTTCAATTTGGCTTGGTTCTTAAGTTTCTACCACTCAAAAGAAATCTGTGATTGACATCAACACTCTCTGTAAGTTACTCAGTTCAACTAACTCAATTCCTATTCTGAGAGTGGTAACACTCAGTTCAACTACCTCAATTTTCATTCTGAAAGTGGCGACACTCAGATCAACTACTCAATTTTCATTCTGAAAGTGGTGACACTCAATTCAACTAGCCTACCTCAATTTTCAGAGTGGTGACTCTCAGTTCAACTACCTCAATTTTCATTCTGAAAGTGGCAACGCTCAGTTCAACTACCTCATATTTCATTCTGAAAGTGACGACACTCAGTTCAACTACCTCAATTTTCATTCTGAAAGTGGTGACACTCAGTTCAACTAGGCTATCTCAATTTTTATTCTGAGAGTAGTGACATTCGGTTCAACTACCTCAATTTCCATCCTGAAAGTGGTGACACTCAGTTCAACTATCTCAATTTTCATTCTGAAAGTGGTGACACTCAGTTCAACTAGCCTACCTCAATTTTCATTCTTAGAGTGGTGACTCTCAGTTCAACTACCTCAATTTTCATTCTGAAAGTGGTGACACTCGGTTCAACTACCTCAATCTTCATCTTGAAAGTGGTGACACTAGTTCCATAAATTGTCAAAATTCTATGATGTGTTATAGGTATGACACAACAGCAGCCTTGCACCGTGTAGATGAGTATCTCAGCCTGGAGATACCTGGGTTGGCTGAGAGACGCCCGTCACTGATGGTTGGCGACACTGTCATCGCAAGACCTTCCTGGACTGATGCTAACTCTTGGGCAACAGGTGTGCTATGTTGACAGGTCCATGATGCAGGGAAACTTATAAGGGGATTTTGCCAACTTGTTTAAAAGGAACTCTCCTTGTATTAGTCCGTAGCTTCATATTTAAACTAAAAAGTCTTTGTAATTGTTAAGGCTTTTATAGTCACTTATTTGAGCAAGGACCAACAAATGAAATAGTTAATTTTTTACTATTCTAGTATTCTACAAAGTTAGAAGAAATGAGAAACTGGTATAATTTGTATGTATTACAGATAAATTATGCATAATAGTTCTTTCTTAACAGTAAAAGTACACTGAAAATTGCAGATTTTTAAAGGGTTAATTGTTTATTGTTATACACTCTGAAATAACATGTTATAGGACTGACAAAATTGAATTTGACCCTCTCACTCTAAACTGCTTTAATTTTTGAGGCGCCACTCCCTTATATATTTTCACTACTGGCTAGTCACTGCAAATTGTACCTTTACTTACACTTGACTAGAAACTTTCCCAAAACTTTGATAACTCCATCTTGCCCTCGAACATTTAGCTACTTTTCTACTGGACGACTCATCAGTTTTTATCCGTTTGCAGACAATAACACTGTCGCATATGAGGGGTTCATCCACAAAGTGTTGAGTAATGAAGTGCTACTTAAGTTCAACCCTACGTTCCACGACACTTGTAGTGGCGTCTACTCCATCAACTTTGAATCTAACCGTACTTCCTTCAGACGTCTGCACCAGGCTGTGCATGTTGGACACAAGAACTTATGTGCTGAGTGGTTGTTTCCCAGCAAAGTTACTTACCAGCCGCCTCAGGTGGGTAGTGAGCTTTTTGAGTAGTGATAGGTTGCAGAGAGTTATTTTTACTTATTTATTTATAATGGCTACAGCTTTATCATAGAAAACAGTCTTAGGCATATCAGTGCCACCAACGGCATCATAGCTTCTTCTCTATAGGGAAATTTGCCAAAGCAAGGGTTGATTCGGGAATAGCTAGAGAGCGAGACATGGAGGTAACTACTAAATAGTGATGACTAGATACATGATACATGGCTTATTTTCAAATCGTTCATGATTAAAAAACTTTGTACAATGCTTTAACATGTTCGCTACCGAGCGACGCACATTTTTGTCGGTCCGGTTACTCCCACAGACCAACAGGAATGATCATAACGTTGCTTACAGACCAAAAGAGAAATGTCGTTTAAATGGACTAATTAACTTCCTATTAACCTAAAGTGAATTAAGTAGTTTGTGTTATAATTTCTAACTAGTGTACATGTTGCTCGAATTCGAGCAATTGCAAAGTATTACAGGAGTTATTTCAAAACGAATAACAGTCATATTTACAATGAGTTTAAAAGAGTCAACTCAAAGATTACCGATGTGTAACTCAGACCATGTTTATGGGTCATTCTCTCAAAATTTGACATTTCTATTCCCTGTGTAAAAAATAATATTTATTTCACTAAAAGTGTGGATATTTTATTTTTAAACTGTTTATGTTTATGTTTTCTATAAATAAATATACAATTTATGTCAAAATTTTCTTTTCATTTATTTTTTTTAGCCTGTCAAAACCCCTGAAACTCATTACAGTCCCCTTTCCCTATGTATGTTTCCCAACTTTGAGGTTAATAATGAGAACTAAGCCTTGCCAAAATTATTTAACAAGTGTTTGAATTTCATAATGTAGTTTATAAAGGATAACTAATAACTGTAAATATTCCATTCCAAGTCCTTTACAATTAAAAAATTGAGTTTGAACCCGTTCCCGACGATTTTTACTCATTACGGTCCCTGACATTGTAAATGCTTGTGTTAGCCAACACAATAGCGCTAGCGTCGCGGGAGAGCACTGAAGTTTGAGAAGAAGCCGCCATGTTGTTCTGTTGCTCATGTTCACTGTGCCTACGTGTATGACTATTGTTTAAAGAATTTTAGAAGATAAATAACCAGGTAAGTATTTTTATTACCACTCACTACAGTCCCTGTAACTATTAGACGTAAATAAATATAATAGTCGCCTTGAACTTGTTCATTTAATAGTTAAATATGTACAGATTAAGATGGCATTGCAGCAATACGACAATTTGTAATGCAGGTTGTGTAATGGCGGCAGTAAATATATTTTCTCATTACTGTCCCGCTCACTACTGTCCCTTGATTTTCATTACGAATTTGGGACCGTAATGATTATATCGGGACTGTAATGATTATATCGGGACTGTAATGATGAAATAAATTGAAAATTAAGCAAAGTTATTGAAATAATGTAGGGGGCATATGATTTTTGGCCATTATTAATGGTTTTTGTTTTTAGTTCATTAGGCTACTATGGTCTCCCGATTTTCGTTAGGTATTTAATTCAGTAGGCCTAATGATTATACCGGGACTGTAATGATAAAATAAATTGAAAATTAAGCAAAGTTATTGAAATAGTGTAGGTGGCATATGATTTTTGGCCATTATTAATGGTTTTTGTTTTTAGTTCATTAGGCTACTATGGTCTCGCGATTTTCGTTATGTATTTAATTCAGTAGGCCTAATGATTATACCGGGACTGTAATGATAAAATGAATTGAAAATTAAGCAAAGTTATTGAAATAATGTAGGTGGCATATGATTTTTGGCCATTATTAATGGTTTTTGTTTTTAGTTCATTAGGCTACTATGGTCTCCCGATTTTCGTTAGGTATTTAATTCAGTAGGCCTAATGATTATACCGGGACTGTAATGATAAAATAAATTGAAAATTAAGCAAAGTTATTGAAATAGTGTAGGTGGCATATGATTTTTGGCCATTATTAATGGTTTTTGTTTTTAGTTCATTAGGCTACTATGGTCTCGCGATTTTCGTTATGTATTTAATTCAGTAGGCCTAATGCTTATACCGGGACTGTAATGATAAAATGAATTGAAAATTAAGCAAAGTTATTGAAATAATGTAGGTGGCATATGATTTTTGGCCATTATTAATGGTTTTTGTTTTTAGTTCATTAGGCTACTATGGTCTCCCGATTTTCGTTACGTATTTGGTACAGTAGGCCTAATGATTATACCGGGACTATAATGATAAAATGAATTGAAAATTAAGCACATTTATTGAAATAAAGTAGGTCTTATAAGTTGTAAATTTCTTGGTTTGATAAGATATTTATGCTGTTCCATTAGACTTGTACTTAACACTCTGCTTTAATGTGCTTGGGTTTAAATTGTATTAAATAATATGTTTTTACACATGTCTGAAATAAGTTGATTGTAGGAAAGGGTGGGGGCACAATAGTTATTAAATTGATAATTTAATGTTAATTTAAGTGTATTATTTTTAGCAGCCTACAATGGATGCAAATGAAGATAGCAGTACCGAGGAAGCTTTAAAGCAGCCTGCAATGGATGTTACAAATGAAGATGTTAGTTTTGACGATGAAGCTTTAAGGAAAAAGCTGTTAATTGCAAAACAGGAAGCATATGAAAGAAGATTAAACGATGACAAACTGAAAAAAGAGTTGCAAAAACAAGTAGCAAAAGAAAAAAGACGCCAAAAGAGAGAAAAAGAAATGGAAGAAAAAAGAAGTGTGAGTGAGATATTAAATCAGGACAAGGGGAAAAAAGAACTGAACCAACAAGCAAAGAAAGAAGGTTGTAAAAAGAGAGAAAGGGTAATTGAAAACAAAAGAAGAAATATTGGAATATTAAAAGAAAGCAGTATGCCTAGGCCTGATGCAGCAGTTGAACCCAAACCAAATATGTGCAAAAGTAAAAGCAACAAACAAAATAATGGTGAGAGCACTGGGGTTTCAAAAATGCCAAGACTTAAAGTAGGCATAAAAAAAAAGGGAAAGGCCAAAAGTCTTGAGGAAAAAAGGAAATATGAGAGGGAGAAGAAAAGGAAGCAAAGAGAAAAAATTAGATCAGATGCAGATTTATATGCAAAATATCTAGAAAATGAAAGAATTCAGAACAAGAAGCGGAAAGAAACGGGAAAAATAAAATCAATTAACGAAATGTCAAAGAGAGAGCAAAGAGTTCAACGAAAAAAATGGAGAGAAAATTCAATGCGGTATGCACAAAGAAAAAAGAAAAGGGAAAGGGAGGAGGAATTTATGAGGGAAAATAGTCCCCCGCCAGAAACTATACTATCACCAAATTCATCAGTCTCTTCAGCAAATAAGATCAGTGGTCGAAAAAAAGTAAGGAGAGATAGAAGTAAAGTTGTGAGAGAACTTGAAAAAACAAAAAAAATGTACAAAAGATCTGTAGCTTTAGCTGAAAAGTGGAAAAAAAGATACTATAAAAAAATGTCCAAAGTTGAGGCATCTCCAAGTCCAAAGAAAAGGGTCGAAGCTACTATTTCTAAAGGAATTGCCGAAGTGAGAAAAAAACTCCTTTTTGCAGAAGCTTTAAATAAACAACTACGTTCAAAAGCAAAACTTTTAAAATCACACAGGGACAAACAAACATTCTATAAATGTTTGTCAGGTACCACTTTGAAGAAGTATAGATGTTTAAAGGAAGCCAGAGGATTTTTGAAAAGGTCAGAAAAAAAATACCGGTGCAACAATAGTTTGAGACAATTTGAACGAAAAAAAAAATCTACCAGCATAGGCTACCTTCAAAAAAAAGCCATTCAAAAGTTCCTTGAAGACGATGACAATAGTATAGTCAGGCCTGGAAAGAAAGATTTTATCAGAAGGAAAAACATAAAAAAACAGGCAAGGTACTTGCAAGATACCCTGGAAAACCTGCATGGTAAATTTTGTGTCACAAACTTTAGAATATCAAAATCGTCATTTTACCGACACAGACCATGGTGGATTGTTGAACCTAAAATGAGTGCTCGTGACACGTGTCTGTGTATTGTACACGAGAATATGAAGTTTCTTCATGCAAAGTTGAAACGACTGAAAATCGTAAATGAAAATAATGTGTCCGGTATCATTAAAAGTATATCTTGTGATGCATCAAACAAAGAATGTAGCTACAGGGAGTGTGCCAGGTGTGAAAGCCAAACTGTAGTTTTTGAAAACCTAACAGACATAGCAGAAGATGATGTTACATGTTTCTACCAATGGCGTAAGAAGATCCAAAGTTGGAATAAAAAGGGAATAACTATGTCTAAGAAAGTAACAGTTAAGGAGCAAGTCAGATGCACAATTGCTGAACTAAAACAACAGTATATTGATCAATTAAATCTATATAAAATACATACATATAACATCCAACATCAGTCCACAGCCCTTAAGTGCCTAAAAGAACATTTGAAGCCTAATGAAATTGTCATCGTTGCAGACTTCTCAGAAAATTACTCCTGTAAGTATTCTGAGGAGGTCCAAAGTGCACACTTTGGAGGGGCTAAGGCAGAAGTAACGCTACACACTGGTGTATTTTACACTAAGTGCAATATAAAGGGTAACCAATTTGCTACGATATCACCATCAAAGCGGCATGACGCGTCAGCAGTTTGGGCCCACTTGACCCCAATCTTAAAAGAAATCAAATCAAACCACCCCGAAACAAATACAATTCATTTTCAAAGTGATGGCCCTACAAGCCAATACAGAAATCGCTTTAATTTCTATTTAATGAAAAAAATATTAATCGAAATTGGGATTGAAAGAGCTACATGGAATTTCACTGAACCTGGCCATGGGAAGGGGACAGCTGATGGGGTTGGAGGCCAGCTGAAACGAAAAGCTGATCAGCTGGTGTTACATGGCCATGACATTACATGTGCCACTGAACTATTCAAAGAACTTGACCAAAACGCTTCCAAAGTAAAACTACATTTTGTTCCGGAAGAAGATATCAATCAAATTGACCTGAAGAGAGGTAAAGAAGAAAATATTCAACAAATAAAAAATACATTGAAGCTCCGACAGGTTGCCTGGAATGCAGCAGATCAAGATGGTCTACAACTTAGACTGCTGTCTTGTTTCCAGTGTTTACAAACCTGTAAACACTATAGCCTGACTCCAAATTATCATTCATTCTCCAATGATCAGACTACCAGTACTGGAAAAATACGTATCCTTTTAAAACTTAAACAAGCATTTCTATTAAAAGAACACACTTAAACACTTGCTTTTTCATAATCTTCATACTTACCTGAAATAATATTTTACAAAAAATTACATACTTACTTACCTACTTACTTATACATTTGTATTTGTGTATATTTAAGTTTTTATAGATTTTTCCCTTAACATAAATTCTAGGTAAAAGTAGGGGGAAAAAAACAGGCTATGACCTACCGGCTGTACCTGAGATGATCAATGGTGAAGATATTTCCACCGTAATAACCGACGTTAAAGAAGAGTCATGGGTTGCTGCGATATATGATGACAATTGGTATCCAGGTAAGAATAACACACTATTGTAATACCAAACACACAAAAGTGTATTTGCATTTTTTATTGTTTACTGTACAAATATTGCCTACCATTTGTTTTTTTGTTTTATGACTTGAATACTTTATAGGCTAGTATAAATTAAATTAGTAAAGCTTCATTTAACTATATATATTTTTTCAGGCCAAGTTGACTCAATGGAGGGCGAGAAAATTACAGTTAATTTTATGAAAAGGGTTGGTGATACAAGATTCATTTGGCCAACCACAAAAGATCGACAAGAGCTCATGAAGAATGAGATTTTGTGCTGCATTGAGCCACCATATCCAATCTCAGCCCGGCATTATACTATTCCCAATATTCAAGCCATAAACAACAAAATGGAATCTGTTCTTAATCAATAAATTCAATTTCAGAAACCAATTTTATTCAATGAAGTGTCAAATCAAACTGTCAATTTGATTTTATAGTTAAACGTTTTTCTTTCAAAAAGTTGTTAAATGTTAAACAATTGTTCACCAGTATTTCTTGACAAAATTATTTTTATTACATAATGTTTTTAGATCTTCAGAATATATGCAAATAAAACTAAATAAATCAGTTTTATTCAATAACCTTCAGTACGACTTCTCATTACAGTCCCTGGTCAATGTCACTACTGTCCCTATGTGCTCATCACTGTCCCCATTTCTTCATTACTGTCCCTCACATGAAATAATTAGTTAGAGAATTCAGATTGTTTATAATAATAACATTTTACTATGAAACTGTTAATAAAGGATCTAAGTAATGATTTCATGTTAATAATAAATTAAATACCAGGCAATACTCACCGCTGGGACGTTTATAAAGTTGCATAATTGTAATATTTTTGAAACAGTTTGGTAAAATGCAAATATGAATGGTCATATAGGTAAAGGGATTTATTATTTGTTCCTAGTTGTATTCATGGGTGTTAGAAATATTACAGGGTGTCCACATTCTGGAAAGTCAGGGATAGTCAGGGAAAGTCATGGAAAAAAATTCTGGTCATTGAAAGTCATGGAAATAGGCAAAAAGTCATGGAAAGTCATGGAAATTCCCAATGATGGATAGATTTGACGGGACTTTTCAATGCTCTAGTCGGCTGTAACCCGACTATTGTAGCAATTTTCTGGATTTTTCAGTTTTTCACAAATGCACGACAATTTAATTTATTACAGTTGTATAGGTTTATGAGTTTTGAGTTTGTAATAGTTCAATACAATCTGTCCCTACTATATCTTATAATTGAATTTAATATTTGTAGAATCATAGACAAAAAGAATCAAATATAGACTCAAATTGAAATACAAATAGGCTATTGTTATAATGTTTAGAGTTGTCTCAAGTTAAGTCTTTCCTAAGTTAAAAGCTTAATTTAGAAAACTCTAAATTCAATAATAAAAAGTATAACGGAAGGAAAAAAGAAAGTGGCTCGAGAGAACTTGGCCAGTTATAGGGACGGAGGAGGCTGGGGCGTCTACTCTTCTTTCCTTCCTTATTTTGAATACGATATTTTTGCAAATTTATTACTCCAGTGTTAATACAAATTTCAGTATTTTCTGTGAAATTACTTGTCCAGGCAGTATTATCTGTATGTGTATGTTATATATAATTTTCTAGTAAAGTTCGCGAGTCATGGAAATCAATGGTAAATGGTCATGGATAGTCATGGAAAGTCATGGAAATTAATGACAAATTTTCTGTGGACACCCTGTATTAGTTTCCACCTCTTTTATAGCCCTACACATATTTCCAGGAACTTTTAATGACATTTTATGATAGGGGACAGTAATGAGAATTTTCTCAATGTTAGGTAATATTTTGCTTCATTTTCAGAATATGTCATAGTAAACTGCGCTGCTGAATATATTTTTTTGTAGATTAAGAAATTCTGAATCCAGTGGTATTAGATTCATTGGGGTCCTAATAAGTTAAAATCTCCTCAAACCTAAATGCTGAAATGTCAAATTTTGAGAGAATGACCCTTATCTTCGTTATTGATAAACCTAAAGTATTCTGGCCGGTTTTCTCCTACTCAAAATGCCTCGCTGTACAGGCAACACAGGTCATTGATAGAGGGCCAATTGAGAATGAAAAGTCGTTTTGGGGTAGTGTTAGGGCGCATTTGTAACCTAATAGTTGAGATTGTCCAGGGTCAGGTTGACTGTGATGAGTTAAGCCTATTGTGTAGATATAAAGTCAATGCTATTATGCACCACTGTTGCTGCGGTCATTATCACGATTACGCCTCCTGTCTATGTTTCGTTGTCAGAACATGAATTCAATGAAGAGAAATGAATTCAGAACAATTTGACAAATTCTTGGAAGGGCAGAAACTACAAATGGATCTTTTATTTCAGTTTTTTGAGGAACTAAAGATAAAAAATAACACACCAGATCCATTTGAAAATTACATCTCAGAAAAAGAAAGATTTTCAGCCTATATTGAACGATTTGACAACTATCTCAGCATGAAGAATGTATCAAACAAAACTAAAAAAAACTCAAATTCTATGTGCATCAATCGGTTCTATCCATTACAACTTAGTTGCATTCAAAGGACCTACAAAGAAGATCAAAGACGTGGAGTATGAACAGCTAGTTGAAGCCTTTGGCGAAATGCTATGGCCCAAAAAGAATACTGTATTGTCTCAGCATTACTTTTTTTCTACTTACCAATCAGAAACCGAAAACATACCTGACTATGTTGCAAGCAAAAAGACTTACACAAAATGTGAATACAGAGAAAGCATTTCAACAGCTCACATTTTCTTTAGGGGCACACAGTCATTAGCGGCATTTGTGATAATAGTACCTATTCGAGAACAACTTTCAAATAAAAATGTCTTTTCTTGCCGTCAGTGGTTTGGTTTAGTTGCTGTGGTGTCCCCCACCCTATTTAAACACTGATTATAGAGGGCAGTTTTCAATCCAAGTCCCTCAGGAGTCAGGACTGGTGGCTTAGATTAAATTAAGTACCTAATTCTTTTGTGTGATTTTTAATAACAGTTTTTTTTTCAGGTTATAATTGTTGACGAAGCAAATCATAATTCAGTTGGTGCAACTATCAAGTCTGAATCTAATACAGATAATAATATTAATCATAAAAATTCATCCCATATCAGTGAAGCAATTGATATAGACTGTGACAATAATATCAGTAATGGTGGTGATAATGCTCAAGGTATTGCCAAAGAAGAAAGTGCAATCCAAAATAGTTTAGAAAAGTCAGTGAATGAAATTGATAATACCACACAAGAGTTCAGTAAAAACACAGGCACCAACCAAAATGGTTTAGACAAATCAGTTATTGAAACATTTATTTCCTCTGAACAAAGTATCGAGGACAGTGTAAACTCTGCAATCAATAATGTAAATAATGTTGATAGTTCAAAGACAAACCGATCTAAAAACAAGCGTCAAAAGAGTAGAGTATCAGATATGTTTGAAAAGTTACCACTGAAAGATGAAATCCCAAAAGTGTCATCTCCCCCAAGAGTTTCAGTTGTGGATAGGTTTCTTCAGAATGGAAATTGCCATTCGATAGAAAAAGGTTCTAAAGAAATGGATGATGTGTTTCGACGCTTAATGGGATTAAAAGTACCGAAGAGAAAAACTGAAATGAAAACATTAGAAGAGATAGAAAAGACATTGCTATCACATAGCAATGTCTTAAAAGAAGATATCAAACCTTTACCTTCTGCGGAGGACAAAAAATCTACTCAAACCATTGAGGAAACACAAGGTTGTAATAAAAAGAAAAACTTATCCGAAGAAATAAATCAGAATCAATCCAGCAAAGAACAAAAGAAAGAAAAAAACACAAGGGCAAAAAACATAGAAAACCAATCATCAAGACAAAAGAAAGAACAAAAAATAAAATGGAACTCTAACACTGAAATGAAATTGGGAATTGAAAAAGAAAGTGTTTCCAATATTCCGCTGTGGAAAAGGACAAAAATCAGATGGTTTAACCCACTACTTAACCACCATCAAAAGGAAGCTGTCCGTAATATACTGAAAGGTGAAGCGAGACCTCTTCCTTATGTTATTTTTGGACCTCCTGGCACAGGCAAAACCATCACAGTTGTTGAAGCGATTCTCCAAATATACTTCCTCATTCCTGATAGTAGGTAAGTTATCCACTGTGGCTCGTATTAATGTCCTAAAGTAGGGTATCTACACCTTCTGAATACACACTTTCTCCCAGAAATGTCCTTGATACAATGATTTTTTTAATGTATCTTTTCTCTAGTATATCTTATAGCTATAGTATCTTTTATCTTTTATGTAATATGAACAATGTCAGCAGCACAATCTGTGAGCGGCACTTTCAACTATGATCTTTTTTAATAAAAAAACCTGGCTACAACCAGTCCATATACATGGTATGCCTACTTCAGTATCCAAAAGTCAATGTTTCCAAGCAGAACCCTGAGGCCCATGTGGATAGGCAAATGCATAGTTAAAAGGGTACCAACCTCTTAAAAAATGTGGTTGTTTCTAGACTGTTGGTAGCGACTCCTAGCAACTCCGCAGCAGACTTGGTGTGCGAGAGGCTGCTGCAGAGTGGACTGCTGGCTGCAGGAGATCTGCTGCGGCTCTGCAGCTTCCACTACGCAGACCAGGGCAGAGTACCTGACAGTCTGCGGCCTTACTGTGGTACTGCGGATATCAAGGCTAGAGACGAGCAGAGGATGCCTGTGCCCAACCATGTACAAGGTAACAATGCCTGATTATTGAAGGGTGGATGTTTGGTACTTCATTCTTCATAGTATTAAATGGTGCTAAATATTTCAAAAGTATCACTGAAAAACTACTTGGTCTCGATATGAGGAGACCAACAATTGTGTTTTGGAGTCAGGCAAGCGTAATGCCAAAGACGCTTGAAAATTTGGTTTGTGATGCTTTTTATTATAGTTTTGTTATTGATTAGTTGTTTGTTCAGCACACCCATTTTATTTTATCCTTATGATTTAAGTGAGCTGGGTCTTCTTTAAAAAGACCAAAAAGCTAATTTTTTTATAGTATTGTTTAATTTATTCCAGACACATCTTAATCTTAAATAGATAGCTTGGAATTTCTTTTAAAATCAAACATGACTCTTAGTTTATTGTGTTGTATAGAAGGTGTAGTGAACATCTCCCGCCATGCTATTGGTCGACACAGGGTGACTGTGGGTACGTGTGGCGCCCTAGCTGTCCTCTACCAGATGGGCTTCCCCAAGGGACACTTCACACATGTTGTGGTGGATGAGGCCGGCCAAGCTACTGAACCGGAGATTCTTATACCTCTAGGTAACTAACGTCACTAGTATTGCATGCAAATTGCTTTTCAGTTTACAGTAAGCAAAGTAGTTAAGACTTAGTGATGACGAGGAAGATGTTGACGACCTATCCCACGATGCCAGACCTGATTTGGTCGAAAAATTAAACGTCACTAACCTGGGTGGTGTGTAAATCCAGGTACTATTCCGCCACCCCATTATTAGTATGAAGTGTGTGATCATGTGGATAGCAGACTTCCTCTGAAGCTAAATAGAAGTTTTTTTCACTTGCAGTGTTCCTACACAAGTCTCACGGCCAAGCCATTTTAGCGGGGGACCCTCTGCAGCTCGGTCCAGTGGTGATTAGCTCAGTTGCTGAACACTTTGGTCTAGGAGAGTCGTTCTTGTCCCGGCTGCTGCAGCGCAGTCTTTACAGCAGGGATGTTGTTGGTTTCCCCTCTACTGGTGGATACAACCCCCATCTAGTCACTAGACTGGTCTACAACTACCGCTCTCTCCCAGAGATACTGCAACTGCCCAACAACATGTTCTATCATGGAGATCTGATACCTAAGGTAATGCGGTTATTTGGATGGGATTTAAAACCTAATTATCCTATATTAAAGTCTTAATTAGTGGTTTGTCGTATCTTTAACTAATTCTTCAGCAAAATCAATTCTTTTCTTGGTTTTCATTACCAGTACCTACCACTACCATTGATACCTAACTACAGTAAATAATACACAATTCCCTTGAAATAAGTTGCAAATGTTGTTATGCGTCATATTTGACTATTGTATTTGTGTTGTATAAATATAACAAGAAAATAGAAACTCAAGTAAAATTCAAAACATTGTGATTTAATACACAACATTTGTGTTTTACATTTGTACATGTACAATAGTACATTACACCTTACACAAGTAGTAAGAGCGTTTTTACATCATGCAGGTGAATGTTGTGCAACGAGTGGAAGTGAGTTGCATAATTCACCTAAGTGATGTAAACATGCTCTTGCTAACGTGTAACGTACAAGATTTTACCTAACCCTACCATATACAGGGGGTTACGTTCAATATTTTTCATTATCCATTTCACTCATCTTCTAACAGTAACGGTCTTTTACTAACAAAAGCTAGGTTAGGAAAATTCTCTAAAGCATAACAATCAAATTCAAGCGCACAGCTGATTTCTAGCGTTGAACGTCTTTGGCTCCATAGAAGTATATTTTTTTTTTTAGTTGGGCACTCAATGTTAATTAAATGAGTCTCATTACTTCACTAGTGAGTTTTTGAAACTTAACTTCACTCATGAAGTGAAGAAGTTGTTTACATCACGCATGGGATAGGGAAGTTTAACATAGCGGGTTGGGTAAAAAATCAAACAATTACAAATTTTGTAAATTATGTAAACTTATTACAATACATCCAGGGGGTTCAGCTCAATCGGAAATAAACAGAAAACTAAACAAGCTTTGTTTTATGAATCCTTACGACCAGTAAAGGTCTGTGAATCTCACATATATAATGCTGGGGAATTTTAATTTTGAATAATTGCTACAGTGGCAACAGTATCAACAGTAGCAATAATATCAACATTAACAATGATTCTTGACAAACCTTTACTTATACCCAAACTATTCCAACAGGTTTCAGATGTGACCAGTGAGGAAGCAGAAATACTGGACAGGTTGAGATCGCTGTTGCCAACACGTGAGGACCAGAGTCCCCCAGCCCTGGTGTTTCACGGAGTCAGAGGCACCAACTGTCAGTCCCAAGAAAGCCCCAGCTGGTACAACCCTCATGAGGCCGTACAGACAACCTTGTATCTTCAGAGTCTGTACAACGCAGGGTTGACACCAGACCAGTGCGGCATTATCACTCCATATCAAGCTCAGGTATGGTTTAGGGTAGTTTACTTTGATAAATTTGGGTATAAAATTACATTGAGTTGCTTTCATGAAAAAAATACCAATTGGTATGACATTTTTTGTAATGGGATAGAGTTGAACTAGCTTACCTGAGAAAAGAGCCTTGGGGCTAATAGATACTAAATAAAAGGTCACAAAACATAACATTGATTAGCCCTAATATAGTATCTTTTTTGGCAGATTCAGTCGCTTTCATTAATGTAGGTCAGCTGCTGGGCACAGCTTGTGTGTTTTTTTTACATATACCTAGTAACTTACCCACAGCTTACGATTTTTTAGGCCTGCACAGGTTTGTACTTTTAGTTTGGGACGTGACGTAAAGAGATGTTTTAGTTCCATCCTAATTTTTGGGCCGGGACAAGGCAAAATGTTTTCTCTGTGCAAAAATGGGTAGGTTTAAAAAATATTTAGTAAATCTTTAGCAGATAGCAATAATAAAAAACAAAATCAATTTGCAGTCTTTGTGGCATTGTTCTATAAAAACCTAATGAGTAAAAATTTAAATTTAAACGGTACCGGTAACTAAAAAATCATATTTGGTGCAATTTAACTTTGAAGCAGTCTAATTTTAAAACACCAATACCGGTAGCTAATCACACACAGATATTTAAACCGACCATAACTGCATTTTTCTTTCTCCCCCTATACCATATGGTTGGAGAAAGTATTGTTTTCGTCAACATTTTTGAGTTTGATTTTTGAGTGGATATATCCGTTTTGAGTCCCCCTGGACCCAAAAAAGTTGTTTTCGAAGTGATGTCTCTCTGTGTGTGTGTGTGTGTGTGGATGTGTACAGAGCTACAGACTACACCTGTGGTCCGATTTTGATGAAATTTGGTATGTAAGTACAAATTTTTTTGGAAATTTTGTTTTTAATGGTTATTTTTCCATAAAAACCCATAAAATAACAGAAAAATCAGATTTTCTCGAAAATGGACCAAACGATTTTGATAAACATTTATTATGTTGTAGCCCTTTCAACCCTTGAACAAAATGACATAAATCCCGTTTCCGTAAAAATTACGGTTCAAAAGTTATTGTAAATTATGTTTTCCCTTAAAAACCATACAATAATAAAATAAACGGTATCAGCATTCTGACACATACTTTCTCCCATAAGTTTGTCAACAACCTTTATCATGTGTAAGTGGTGAGAGTAAATATACGCAAATGGGATTTGTACAATATTGTTCAGAATTTAAAGCACTATAACATGCTAAATTTTTATCATAATCGTTTGGGCCATTTTTGGGAAAATCATATTTTTCCGTTATTGTATGGGGTTTTATGGGAAAATCCCCATTAAAAATAAAAATTTCTAAAAAATTAAAAAAAAAACTATCAAAACTGTAAGGATTATAACATACTATGTTAAATCAAAACCGGATTTTTTTCTGAAATCCAATTTTTCGTTATTTTTGGGGGTTTTTATGGGAAAATAACATATTTGACCATAACTTTTGAACCGTAATTTTTACAGATATGGGATTTGTACCATTTTATTCAGAATTTAAAGGGCTACAACATACTAAATTTTTATCAAAATCGTTCGGGCCGTTTTTGAGAAAATCCGATTTTTCCTGTTTTTTATGGGTTTTTATGGGAAAATCCCCATTAAAAATACAAATTTCAAAAAAATGAAAAAAACGCCTGGAGATACCATTGATTAGAACCTTACCAAATTTCATCGAAATCGGACCACAGGTGTGGTCTCTAGCTCTGTACACATCCAGACACACAGACACACACACACATACGGGGTTTTACCGAATACTCGCAAACACCTAATTGTGGCATCTTTCAACCTGCGGCCACCAGTGGATGAAGGAAGGTGGTAGAAACATGTCTGCATCGATATTTTTAATGAACACTCCATTTTAACATCTAACATTCCAGTTTTTAAATTGTGGCACCATGCCACAAATCGGTATATATCAACAGTGTGTGGACAGGATGCCACTAATGCGTTGTAGTGCTTGAGCGGTGTGTGCGCCCCCCCTACTTCTCGCGTGCGCTGTTGCCAGTTCTCCGTTCTAGTTCCTTCATTCCGTTCTGTATTCATGTGGCTATGCTCTAGCCGCTGTAGCTCATTTCCCGCGCTCATGACGTCGTCTTTTATTAGTGTAAGGATTTTATATGAAGTTTTTTTCAAAGCTCCAATAATTTTTACAATTATTGGATTTAAAGTCAATGGACCAAATGAAATGTCGTGAGGATTACATAAAACTACATGCTATTTTGTTGATGTTTTATCGTCACATTGTATGTATGGTTTACGAACTGAGATACTTGGAATAAAGACCTTAATGTGCTGGGTAAATTATCAGTTTCATGGGAATCTATATATTAATTACGTAAGCCGATTTTTTGCGTCAAAATTGTGGGCGACTGGGAAGTCGTAGAACGACGTGAGAGGGCTCAAATTAAAGGTCTTTATCCCGTGACGGCAGGAAAAATAGTGAAATTCCCAAAATCTTAACACAAAATTAGATATAACGTACAATGTTCTCCATAAGAATAGCATTAGAAGGCATTTACTGCTGATTTTTGTTTACTTCAATCCAGCTGATCGTGATTTTATCATTAGCAAGTAAGCTTACATTTGGATTACTCATTTGCCAGTCAATTCTGCAATGTAATGTATACTATATAAAACCAACTATATAAAGGGATAACGTTACCTTTAATAATCAAGACTTTTTAGTTATGTCAAAGTTGAAATAAATTGTTTTCAAGATTTAAGAAACGATTCAAGATTAAAAGAAGATCTTCTTTGTTTTTATTTCAAAACATATGTAAAAGATTTATTCCAATTTTTTTTTTTAATTTACTTACATTTATATTTGAGATTTATTGTAGTGTTTAATCAATATTTTGTATGAAGTGGAATAACCTCAACGGTTACTCTTAGAAAACAATTTGGGAATAAAGATGAAGTAGGTTCGTACAGGTATTTAAACGAACCAAAAATATTTATGTCGTGATTAGTTTCGATAACTGGGTAATGGAACCATAACTAGCCGCAAAATAGTTGGTAATTAGACGTTGACTAGGCCTTTTTTGGTAGAATATGTAAATCAATCGCACCTTTAGGAGGATTAACACCACATACTTACACTAGGCTAATAGTGGTTTTTTAATGTTGATCACAAACAAATTTAGGTCCAAGTTCTGTCAATGGGATGCCTTTACTTAAGAATAATTTTGTTAAACCTTTACAAAATGAGCATAGACTTAGAAATAATAACTGGGTAGGGTATCTCAACACACCATTTTTTGGCTTTTCTTATTTGACGAAAACAATTTCCAATACTGTATTTCAATCGGGGAAGCCTTGTTATCAGCATTAACCAAAAAACCAAAGCTACCTTAATAAACCAATATTTATTCATAAACATGTTTGCTGCCTTTAGCAGTTAAACTCAGGAATCATTCAAATTCTTTATTGAACATAACGTTATCAACAAAAGCAAACAAAGACAAACAACAAACTGTTTTGTTTTTTTTTTTGCACAAAAGATATGTTGTAGTGGGATATCTAGGCCTATCCTGACATATAGATAATTTGATTCTGAGTTTGTTTAAATATTCCAACAATAATTCCTTTTCCGTAGCTTTTTAGGGACTATGTCCCTACAAGCCACTAGTTTACATTAAAATACGCAATAAGTATGACTCCGTTTTTTCTGTATGCATATAATTAATTCATGGTAATGTAAAAGTATGCGTAACGAATTTTTCACCTCACTATGATGTTTTTAGCTGTTTTATATACATTTAGCTGGTTTATATTGGTGGCTGAAAGTTACGTTTTGCTGGCCATGCCAGCTGTCATCGTCATATGGGGACCGAGCAGGGGTTTACATCCCTAGGGCCGCAAAATCACTTGTTCGCCTATTTACTTAAAACATTAATGTATATTAAATGCACAAGCTGTATCCATGGCATTGCAATAGACTTGTTTTTTGTCACAGCTGCCTAGACAACTATTTATTGTTATTTTTGATTTTGCTGATTCCTTAAAATATTTCACATAAATAAGAGGGACGTTATATTGCAAAACATACTTGGGTAAAAAAAAACCGCTCGTACCACGAGCCAAAATGGGTTTGCAGCTCTCGATCGTTTCACGTTCTCGACTTCGTCCCGAACTTAAAACCCGATATCGAGTCGGCAAAACCTCACATTAGGCCCTAGGTACGAAATATACTATTTTTTTACGATGGAATTAGAGACCCAAAGATTCTCACCCCGTTGCGAAGCATGGGCAGATAGTTAGTTATAAGATTATAAAGTCTTTACTGTTTTGTCTGTACATTGCGTAGACTCATGAAGTGTTTGGTTATTTCTACGTTGTATAAAATAAGATAGCCGAAACGAGTCTTGTGTATATATCTGTACGTTTGTTTGATTCTTACTGTCATTGTGCCTGTAACGCTAAAATTCCAATTCACGTGTCCTACCTTGGGAAAACTAGAGTACCGTTCATGATCCAAATAGTTTTGTAATTGTTCTAATAAATTTGCCAAGTTTGATCAAAATATATCCATAAACAAGCAAACTACAACATTTTACAATATTCTTTATATGAATAATAAGGGAATTTTAAATTTACAATTTTTGAATTTGTCCTGTTACCAATAACCGTACAAAAACACTTTGATATACTAAATTATTTGTTTTCTAAGCTATTTAAAAAGGTCTGGATATAAATTGGGAAATTTTGTATTTTTAAGGTAACGTTTTTCTCCATTTCATATATTAGTAACAATATGTATAGTATCAAATTCAGTAATAACATTGACTACTGTATTTAAACCTTAACAGAAGTGTTTATATATTCATTGAGGCTACTGGTGCTACCGCTGATGGCTTATGCATGTGTACGTTAGTAGCTAGCAGACAATTTGCCAACTAGGAACATGAAATCAGCTGTTCCCCGTCCTCACTGTCGCGGTTGCTCGCCT